TGCACTTCTATCCCTCTCTCTCTTTTGTTAATAACTTTCTTGAAAATAAAAATGCATTGATTTTTCTCTAATGTTGTCATCTCATCTCTGCAAAAAAAAAATCCATTATGGCTCTGGCTACCTGCTGTTACTGCCACTGTATTTGTTCTTTAAAATGCAGGCTGTCATTTTCAATCAATGGGTCATTCATTATTGAGGGTGTGCTGGTTGACAAGATGCACGTCCTGTCTTGTTTGCCAGATGAATTATCTGTAGCCAGGATGCCATATAATAATATCACAACACTTCAGTGGATTTTTCTCTACCCGACGGCATGAGATGGTCGCACTAACCAACAGTTAAGGACAAAACCTCTGTACTTCTAATCAGCTTAATGCTGGCTTATTCAAAGGCCCTCTTTCAGACAGAGCAGCTGCTGTCAGCCAGTTTGAGTAGAGGGTGTGACTGCTGGCAGAGCTCACCGATGCAGAGAGACCGGTTGGTGATTAACAAATGTCAGTAGACTTTGGAATCTGGGGAGCCCAGTCCGATGGCTTTGTCCTCTGTAGCTCACCACTGAAGGTCTTCCAGGTGGCTCTGTCATGCTCTCTCGCTGCCTCCCTTCTCCTCCCACCCTTCCCCTTAAGGCCTGCTCTCCTCTTCTGCTTCTCTCTGCCCCCTTCTGGTCTATTACTCAGGGCTCAGGGTTACAGAGCTCTGAGATAAAGAAGTTCAGACATGCCTCACATTTTTAGACCCCCTTGTGGAACATAGTTGGCAGCTCCTCCAGAACACGTTTGCTGTATTTCTCTCCGCAAAGTGTTGCTGCATGCTCGCTGTGACCTATCCTGTCTTTCTCTGGAACAGGGATTCTAGTGTTTCTGTGAAAATCTCTTGATACGAGAGATAATGTCCCTGAGAAATGAAAGGACTACGAGGCAAAGTCAGCCCAGCAAGCGTGTGAGATGTTTTCTGCTGAGCTGTGTGGGCAGAGGGCTTGGGTACAGTACTGTACATCTGGCAGATAGATTTCTGTCAGCAGCTCTCCAGTGTCAGGCTGCCTGCCTTTGAGGAAGAGGATCAGATCTGTGGGTCCATGTTGTGTGCTGGCTGAACACCTAAGCGCACATAGTCAGCTCCTAAAATGGCTGCCCTTGAAGCTCGGCTCAGAGGAGGATCTGTGCAGCTCAGTCGCTGCCTGTTAGAGCCCCAGCTGACTAGATGAAAGCACTTACACAATCTCACCCATTAACTTGGTGTAGCGCAGGGACTGAGTGGCTGAAAAGACACAGCCAACTCTAAGGCAGATGGTGGTTGTGTAGGAGGCTTTTTTTTTTCTCCCCGGGCATTCCTCTCCCCATCTCTCCGAAAGGATTCTCTTGATATCCATGTCAAGGAACCTGGCATTAGGAGGCAACTTTGTTCAAAACAGCAGTGAACTGCCAAGAGAGCAGGGTGGGGCCCCGTGGTGAGGCTGTAACCTGACCCTGAACAACAATGGATCCCCTGGTTGCTTAGGGACATACTGGCAGCTTGGCCGGCTCACATGGAGCTCTCCACTGCCTGGCCAGTTGTATGTGGGAAGCAGGGCGGGATTCCCAACTGTCTCTGGCTGGATCTGACTTCAGATATCTTGGTTTGAGTATCCTGATCAGTGGACTGAATTTAATCTTGGTAGTAAAGCTATATTTCATTGCATCTCTATTCAAATCAAATATGACTTTGTAAGACAATATCCAGTTTCTTTTTTTCTACTATTGCATACTTGTTTTTGCCACTTACAGTCTCAGATTGTTATTAAGTGTCTGACAACATTATGGAAAGGATCCCTACAGAGAGACACAGAGTAGCATCCTTTTTGTTTAACCAGAAACAGTCGCTATACGCTCTTGTTAAAGCCACCAGACTCCCTTGACAAAAATAGTAATTTTATCTCACAACTGCCTTGATTGGTAAGTCTATGTTATTGTGTGATGTTGGTGTTTTTAACCCTTTAAGACACCAAAGTCACACAATAACACAAGCAAACTAACCGACTGAGGCAGCGGGAGACCAGCAACACAGAATTCTAAAACTACTATTTTTATCAATGGAGTCTGGTGTGACGGTTACGATATAGTGATTTCTGGTTAAACAAAAAAAGACCTTTAAAAAAGAGTATGGGATCTCAATCTTTAGGGATTATTTCCACAGTGTTGTCAGACACTTGTAATAACAATCTGAGCATGTCAGTGGCAAAAATAAGCACTTTAATGGATGTACTTTGACAACGTGCAATTGCCCGCAAACTGCAGTGTGCTCGCTCAATACTGGAGCAATTAAAAAAAATGTTGTCCCAATTAGTCACATACAAAAACATGGTTTTGGTGAAAAATACTTAACTTACACTTTAAGTATTAAACCATGCCAGTTCAAAAACTTTAGACATTAAAAGACAAAGCTAATAAAAGAGTACTACACTGATAGGCAGTTTAAAAAGGGTAATCATTGACACAGCAGAACCAGATATATCTTCTTTTTTTTTTCCCACACATTCTTTTGCAGCTCTCTCTGGAACCACAACATACTGTGTATAACTTTTCTATATAAATTTAATTTATTATTATTATTATAATTCCACCACAGTTCCACCTTAAAGCCGAGGATGGGAATTTATTTTAGAAGCATTTTGTTATATTTGTTGAAATTCTCTCTGACACAAAAATGAAAAAATATCAGTTTGTTCTGTCCAAATAAAAGGCCCAAACAAGTGTTGCTTATGTTAGTGTTATAGAATCATACAGTTTATTTATTATTTTATCCTCAACTTTATTTTTGTTTCTTTGGGTATTACAGCCATTGATGAAACATCCTCATCCTCTGTTTGAAAATGAAAGTTGTGTTTCTGGGGTGTCAGAATGGACCATAATGTGTCCAGCATAACCGTGATGTCCTCAGTTTGAGTTGAGCCGGGGACCTTTTGTTATCCAATTCTTTTCTCTCTCTTTTCAAGTTTCCAGTTACTCCACATTGTCAAGCTGTACAGTAAAAAAAACCCAACATATTTTAACATACCAAAAGGTTTATTAAATTGTTTGGCAACAAAGTTGTTGCATACGAAGGCTTCTGTCCTGGTCGTTTTTAATGGTTACAAATGGAACTAGCATGCCGTGTACACAGTGTGTGCGTGTGAATGTGTGTGTGTGCTGATTTGTGTACATACCCTAGTGTTTGCACAACTTTCCATGTGTAAACTTCATTGTTGTGTTAGTCTTGTATTTCAAGGTTTTGTTTTTTTTTTTCCATCTGACGTTGACATGCTGTGGTGGACAAAATAAAATAAACACCCAGCAATATCAATATAAAGGAAGTAATGAGGAGAATGGCCACCTGTGCCTTTAGAAGCTATGTAATCCATCTTTAAATGTTGTCATTGAAGGCCTAGCTCTGCGTAGGTTTAAATATGTTTAAACCTGGAAGGTGTCCATTGCGTTTATGAAACCGATCTTAAACTTACTTGATGGTTTGGGGATGTTATCATCCTAAAATACGAAAACATCATGAGAGGCCAATGTTTGTACCACAGGTTGCACTTGGTCCTGTAAAATGGCCTTATACTGTAAGGCCATTATACATCTGTAATGGCCTGTTAAGCATCGATTTGTTGACTTTCTTTAAGCTAGGTTACTTTTTGTTGATGCAGTTTGTTCGTCTTTAATATGTGGAGTTTTTGTGACTTATGCCAGCACTGACTATTTGATCTTTTGGATGCTTTTAAGTCTGGAGTAGTATCGTCCACCATTATTACTGCATTTAAAAGTTACGCAGTTTTCATGTGGTGTTATGGGTAACTTTGTCTAAAACATATCCAATACAATAATAGTTTGTTTTTTTAACGCCAAAGGAATGGCCTGCACCAGAGTATGCACTCATTGTCTTAAGCAAACATAACATGTTAAAAGACATTTGTAAATTTTTACTTTGATATATTCTACATTGTTGTGTTTAAAAGAAAGTGTGAAAAAATCACATTGATTGGGATTTGATTTGTAAGTCAACGAAACTGTGCCATATAACTATATATCTTAGAATCAGTGTGAGCTACAAATCCTATTTGTGATATTATATGATTTTGAAACAAAATGACACTTGATTAGAAAGTCATGATGAAAGAGCTGGATAATGATGGCCACATCATCAACATCAATTCTTTTGGCGAAGTCCAAATTGCAGAGAAGCCCAAAGACGTAAAGCCTTCATCTCTCAGTTGATTCATTCAATCTTATTTCAGAGCAGATACAATCTGATGGAATAGTCTGCTCTAAATACTGAGCTGTGGAGCTGCTCTCCAGCTGTTGCTTATCCCAAGGTAATAAAAATGGGACAAATCAGCCCATAATCCCTCCTCAGTCCCGCCATTGTTCTTGAAATGATGCTATGCTAAAAAATGGGACCTTCTTAGTATTCCGAGTAACATCAGCATCTGCTGAATTCTCCTCTTTGTCATGTTTTGTGAGACTTTCCATCAGAGTTTGTGGACAGCTCCGGGCATTTTAGTGATTGAAAATGTTCTCATTTTCATATGAATTTGTGACTTTCTATCCATGTGGTTTTGTCTTCATAATGAGACAACAGAAATGTGTTGCAGTTTTTCATAAATGAACAAATGTTTTTGTTTTTTTTAAGAATTTGTGCAATAACAAAACTCAATCATTTTAGTTTTGCATGATTTGTTTGTTTGGAATGTAGACCTATTTCAGTGAGATATTTCATTTAGACTCATAATGGTTTAGATGTTTTTATTTTGTTAAACTTTTGCAAACTTCAGATATTTTCACCTCATCACTCCTCATATTATTCAACATCATGGCAATCATAAAAAAAGAAATGCATCACAGTCACAGTGTACAATCCAGGAAACATGATTTTATAAATTACTTATCTTTCCAATCAGAACCTCTCGATTAGACATTTATTCTACCATGTACTAATTAGAAAATGCTGCATGTCCTCATGATTTTTCTCTCTCTTTTTCTTTGCAGGTTTCCCTGATTTTCCAGGGAGTGCTCCCTCTTTTTAGTGATGGAGGTATTGCAGTGTGATGGCTGTGACTTCCGTGCCGAGTCATATGATGACCTCAAGACCCACATTCAGGAAGTGCACACTGTTTTCCTGCAGCCTGCAGATGCCGATGAGTCTGACTCTTTGAAAGAGGAGGATGAAGATGAGGAGGAAGAGGAGGAATATGAGGATAAGGATGACAAGGATTACACGCCTCCTAAAGCTGGAATGAGTATGCCTACCACATTAATTCTGATGTTACAGTTAATATGTTGAGGATTAGGAAACAATTCTTTTTCTGTTTCAAAGAACTCTTCATAGCAGGATTGTATACTATTGAGGAGCATAAAAATGTATTGAATTGTAGACGGTTTTATTGAAAGAAACAATAGAAAGTAATAAAAATAATGGCAGCAAAAATGTTAATGATTTGTTATGATTTCTCACATTCTCATTTCTTTAGGCCCCAACTCAACTGACAATTCCAACCAAACATCACAGAAGCAGACAGCTGACACCCACCTGCCGTTTTACCAGTGCAAGTTCTGTGTCCGTTACTTCAGATCAAAATCATTCTTAAGAAACCACACCAAAAAAGTGCATAATGTTGTAGAGGAAGATTCAGATCCAAGTATCTCCTCACAGACAGCAAAGCCACCCAGCTACACTGTTATAATGCACAATGACCATTCAAAAGTGTATTCCTGTCAGTACTGCACATACAAGTCTCCTCGCAAAGCAAGGATTATGAAACACCAACTAATGTATCATAACAAAGTTCCCTCAGAGGGCGCTGGAGAGCCTTCCGAATACGCTCAGACTGGAGAGGAATCTGACTTAGCCAGTGGGCTCATGAAGGGAACGTTCGCCTGCGAATGGTGTGAATATCAGACTGACCAGAAGGACAGCTGGACTAATCACGTGGTGAAGGAACACAGTGACAAGGTCAAGATAGTTTCCTGCATTGCGGAGCTGGATGGGGAGGCAAGTGCAAGCTCACCCAAACCACATTCTCCATCCGCCTCCCAAAGCCCGACTAAATCAAAGATGAGTTTCACTGATGTTTGTGGAAAGGAAGAGTCGGTAGGAAAGACAGCAGAAAACACGGGGGAGTCAGTCCCAGAGATCTCGTCCTTCCAGTATGCGCAGATTAGTGCAGTAACACCCAACAGCACAGGTTCCTCCATTTTGTCCAAGAGGTTTGCTTCATCTGATGTCTCCAACAGTGTCATAGAGATGGATGGCAACTTAGTCAATGAGGAAGACTCTAGGAGCAGCTTAGAGGATGATGATGACGAAGAGTTGGGCGACACAGATGATCCCTGCTATACTGGGACCCTGTCAGCAGATGCAAAGCAGCTTTTAACTGATGAGGATAATAAATTACTGGAGACTAAAGGAATACCATTTAGAAAGTACATGAACCGATTTCAGTGCCCCTTCTGCTCCTTCCTCACCATGCACCGGCGGAGCATCTCCCGCCACATTGAAAACATTCACCTTTCTGGTAAAACCACGGTGTACAAATGCGATGAATGCCCGTTTATTTGCACCAGCCCTCTCAAGCTAGGCACGCACAAACAGAGCCACAATTCCTCAGATTTAGATACCTTGGACCTAACAAATGATAGCCCAGAACCTCAGAATGACAATGTTGCAGAGCCAGTTAATGGGGGCAATGTAAGCTCGAAAGTCAATGGAAAAAAGATAACCAGCACATCGAACGACCAGCAGAACCCTCATCGCTGCACACTCTGCAGCTTCTCTACCACTACCCTGAAAGGCCTGAGGGTTCACCAGCAGCATAAGCATTCCTACTGTGATGACCTAGATCCCACTGTCTTTGACAGCCAGCTGACTGACCAGCCAGACTCTGAAGTGGACGCTTCTCCAATCTTTCTGCAAAAAACCCAGACCTCCATTTTAGGACTTGCCACCAAAAAGCCCTTAGTAACAGGGAAAAGAGCCAGGAAGTCCATTAATGACTTGCCTTTGGATTTGTCCTCGGTTAAGAAGAGAACTAGAATTGATGAAATTGCCAGTAACCTTCAAAGTAAGATAAGCCAAAGCCAACAGGACATGATCATAAACCTAGATGACATGGATGATGATGATGCAGGAGAAAATCACGCCAATGCTGATAAAGAGGGTAGAAACCATGACAATAAAAACTTCACTTACAACACACAACAGCTTCATGCAAGAGAATCAATGATCTCCCATGAGGGAGGCAGAATAGGGAAAAGAAAGAGCAACCCTAAGTCAAAACCTAGAAACATTCCTATATCACTGACTCTCTCAGATGATAGTGAAAACATCTCTGCTGATCCCAGTGACAGTACTATCCAAGACAACGCTGATTATTCAGAGGAACCAGGGACTGCGCGTTTCTACTGTAAACACTGTGATTACCACAACAAATCAGCTCGTAGCGTCAGCACCCATTACCAGAGGATGCACCCTTACATCAAGTTCAGCTTTAAGTACATCCTGGACCCGGAGGACCAGAGTGCAGTCTTCCGCTGCTTAGAGTGCTACATTGAATACACAAATTACAATGATCTACACCAACACTACATGGATCACCACCCTGAAGCAAGCAATGTGCTCAACTTCAACCAACCAAATCTGGTATACATGTGCCGCTTTTGTTCGTACACAAGCCCCAATGTCAGGAGCCTAATGCCCCATTACCAAAGAATGCACCCTACAGTGAAAATCAACAATGCTATGATCTTCTCCAGCTATGTCGTGGAGCAGTCCCACAAAACTGGTGAATCACAAACCCTGAGGGAAATATTAAACTCTGGCCCGAAGAATTTTAACTCAGCAACATCAACTCCCAGGTCCTCCTCCAGCCCAGTGCCGAAAACTGTCTCAAAGACCCCTGAAGCCAGTGCTGAGACCGACCCTCTCAAAGAATCCATGGGTGGCAATGTTGTTGTCTATGATTGTGATGTGTGTTCTTTTGCTAGCCCCAACATGCACTCTGTTTTGGTCCACTATCAGAAGAAACACCCAGAGCAAAAGGCGTCTTATTTCCGCATACAGAAAACCATGAAGGTCATCTCAGTGGATCAATCACAGTCAGTTGCAAACTCCTCATATAATCTCAGCATGGCTACGCCTCCAAAACAATCAAGTGCAGCAGTGTATGGATCAGATGAAGAAATGTACTACTGTAAACATTGCGTGTACAGCAACAGATCTGTTGTTGGTGTGTTGGTTCATTATCAAAAGAGACATCCAGAAGTAAAAGTGACAGCAAAATATATCAAACATGGTGCTCCCACCCCTGGTTTGATGAAATTAATGGATGAATTGCAAATTGCAGCTCCCAAACAATTTTTGAAGCAGTTTCAAAATAATGGTCATGATGGATCTAACAACTCAAGCCCTAAACCAGGAAGTGGTGAGAAAGGTGAGGATGAGCTGTTCTTTTGTCAGCACTGTGATTATGGCAACCGCACTGTAAAAGGAGTGCTTATTCATTACCAGAAGAAGCATAGGGAAACCAAGGCAAATGCTGACCTTGTACGTCGTCACACTGCTGTTGTCCGGAGTCAACGTGAGCGTGCACAGATGGTTCAGTCAGGCAGTGTCTCTTCTGCCATGATCCCAGCCCCTCCGGACCCTGAAAACGCTACGTCCCTGCGCTCCCTCAAGTGCAGACACTGTTCTTACACATCTCCTTACGTGTATGCCCTTAAGAAGCATCTGAAGAAAGAGCACCCCACTGTGAAAGCCACAGCCATGACCATTTTACACTGGGCTTACCAAGATGGCATTCTGGAAGCTGGATACCACTGCGAGTGGTGCATTTACTCCCACGCTGAACCCCAAGGCCTGCTGCTCCATTACCAAAGACGCCATCCTGAGCACAATGTCGATTACACATATATGGCCAGCAAGCTATGGGCTGGTCCGGAGACTACCCAACAAGGGGGCAATATGGAAACCAAACATTACAAATGCAGGGACTGTGCCTTTGAGGCTTGTACAATATGGGACATCACTAGTCACTATCAGGCAGTTCACCCCTGGGCCATTAAAGGGGATGAATCTGTGCTTTTAGATATCATCAAAGGAAATGGCTCAGCTGAAAAGATCCACCAGCAGGTTACCAAAGAGCCTGCGTCTTTCACTTGCCAGTCTGTTGAAGATGATGGAGCACTGGTCAATGCCACCCCACCTCAAGAAAACAATCCCCATCCTCCCCACCCACGTCTTTCCATCTCTAACAATCCTTATCAGTGTACTGTATGTCTGTCAGAGTACAACAGCCTCCATGGCCTCCTCACTCACTATGGAAAGAAGCACCCAGGCATGAAAGTAAAAGCTGCAGATTTTGCACAGGAAGCAGACATCAACCCCAGTTCTGTTTATAAATGTCGTCACTGTCCGTATGTAAACTCTCGAATCCATGGTGTCCTAACTCACTATCAGAAGAGACACCCGTTAGTGAAAGTCACTGCAGAAGACTTTGCAGATGATATAGAGCAAATCACTGACGTAAATGAAGGAGATGACAAGTGCAAAACTCAAAGGCAGGGTTATGGCGCCTACAGATGCAAAATGTGCCCGTACACGCATGGGACACTGGAGAAACTGAAAATCCATTATGAGAAATATCATAATCAGTCGGCCTCTGTTATGTTCACTCCCTCAATGACAAATTTTTCTCCCAGTAAAGAAACAGAGCCAGTGGCAGAATGCAGTGCTGGTAATATATCAAGCGCAGCTAAAGTCCAGGAGGTCAGTGAATTGGACCTTGCCCTCTCCCAGTTACCCATCAATAAGACAGAGAAACATGCCGTATTCAAGTGTCAGCTCTGCAAATACTTCTGCTCCACCAGGAAAGGCATCGCTCGCCACTACCGTATCAAACACAACAATGTTCGTGCTCAGCCAGAGGGTAAAAACAATGTCTTCAAATGTGCTCTGTGTTCATACACAAACCCTATACGCAAAGGCCTAGCAGCACACTACCAGAAGCGGCATGATATTGATGCATATTATACCCATTGTCTGGCTGCTTCCAAGACTATGAGCGATAAGCCTAACAAAGTGATAGCACCCGTGCCATCAGAAGGGGACAATTCAGAAATGAGTGAAGACTTGCGTTTGGCTGTGGAGAGACGCAGGTGTTCTCTTTGCGGCTTCCAGGCCTTCAGCAGGAAAAGCATTGTCTCACACTATATTAAACGGCACCCAGGTGTCTTCCCCAAGAAGCAGCATTCTAGCAAGCTTGGTCGCTACTTTACTGTTATCTATGCCAAAGAACCAGAGAAGATTGCTGTCAGTGCAATGGCAGAGGAAGACAAGGAAGTGCTGGAGGTTCCGCTTGAAAACGAGCAGGAAAGAGAAGTTGAATGGCTGCCATTCAAGTGTCTAAAATGCTTCCGATTGTCCTTCAGCACAGGCGAGCTGCTCTCTATGCACTACAATGACCACCACAGCAATGACTTGAAGAGGGACTTTGTGGTATCGCCCGGTCCTGGGGATGAGGATTCTGAGTTGTACCAGTGTTCTCACTGTGAGTTGAAGTTCCAGGCACTCCCAATTCTGGCCAAACATCTATTGAACCACAATGAGGAGTTTCAGAAGAGGGCCATGCGGCAGGAGAGGAGGAGGCAGCTTCACAGTAAACAGAAAGCCGCAGAACTACCTGAGACCAAGCCCGAGAAGGTGAGCGGAGATACACATCTCTTTTAAACCTTGTAAATCAAAGAATAAAACCGGCATTTTTACCATTTTACCATTAATATCTGAGAGCATACTGTCTTCTGATGCTGTAATCACAAGCTGCTACTTTGTATCTTACTGTAATTTGTTCCTTAACTTGTGGAAGTCATGGACTCCCATGGTTTGTAAATGGAAAACAGCTCAGAGAGACATAATGCATCACTGATAGTTGTTAATTGATCACAGTATGACTTTATAATCCAAAGCATTGCACTTGTACCCAAAGTAGTCCTTTATTTAGTCCTGATAATTATGTGTTTCGAATTGTCCCTTCACTGTTACCAGGATTATATAATTGTGTGATAATTAGCTTCATAATAAAATCATTAAAAAACCACTGATCTCATGTAATGTATAACTGGGAACAGTGTTAGGCTCTGACTTCATGGAGAAAATGTAAATCCCATAGAGAAGAAACAGTATCTTCTGACTGTGGTAAATACATCTGCTGGTTTAGATTCATAGGCATTAATGGCACTACGTAAATTAGACTGTTACTGTCTTTAAAAGGTTAAATAATGCAATTTAAAATGAACATCTTTATTACAAATCTATTTCAAATACAATACTAAAGAAAACAAATACTGTGAATAAAATGGTTCTTTTGGTCATTGTTTTTCTGTGAACAGGAAAGCCCTGTAAATAAAGCTCCCATAGGATTCAGGTGTAACTTCTGCATCGAAGTGCACCCCACCCTTCGAGCCATCTGCAACCACCTTAGGAAGCATGTACAGTATGGAGAGGTCAAAGAGGGACATGTCAAGGTAAATGGAGATTTATTTCCCCAGTGTGGGATCAATAAAGTCCATTTTATCGTATCTCATTATTTACTCCAGTGATATTGTATATTCTTAAACAAGAGTTTATTTTCTTGAACAATAGTTGAGGCCCACTTTGTCTGTCCCCTGTGTTTCCGTCTTGTAATCTAACTCTCATCCGCCTAGCTCTGCAGTGATCTGTTTTACTGGACTTTTTGGTTCTCTTTTCCATTTTGTTTATTACTGATGGAGGCTTCTGGGTAGACAGTCTGTCAGCTTCCCCCAGAGAAAACAAGCAATGCTGTCCCATTGCAGTGGAGGGGGGAGGAGTGGAGGACAGAGTGGTGAGCCATAACTTTTAGGGCAGTGGCGGGTAACCATTCAAACATTAGTATTCCACTGAGGCTGCCAGTGAGGGGAACAGGCCTAAGGATCCAACGCCTCACCCAAATGGAGGCCTGGTTCTTCCGTCACACACCCAGTCTGTCTTTTATGTATTTAAAATTAGATGTTTTAAGGGCCACTGAGAGTGATATGGTGTAGTATGTATGTAAGTATTCACTTTAACAACTGAGGTCTTATATTAGTATTATTATTAATATTATTAATATTAGACTTTGACTTAACCAGTACAACTAATGATGCTTACCCTGCCAGGGTTAACTGCAAGCATTTATGTCCTACAACACAATGAACATGTACAACATGTCTACCAGATGGAATTTACTGTATGTTTCACACATTGCAGAGGGTAAAAATGAATGTTGCTTTTTATGGTATAATAAATACAGTTTCAATTCTAGAACTGCAATGGTTTCTTATAGAGTTGGATGAAGAACAGGCTGACAGTGCAGTCAGGGCAGACTGGATGGCAAGGTTGGGCCTGTGGATGCCACATCTTATTTATGGCTGCGTGAAGTGCAGGGTCAGGTCCTTCCACAGAAAGAATGAGCTTCCTCAGGGCAATAAAAAAGTCACGGTGATTGTCTGTCCACTTGTGACGACTACAAAAACCAGCCTGCACTCCAGCAAATGGAGGTTGAAGAAATAGATGGAGAGGTTTTCTTTCGCAGTTGGTGTTGTGGGTAGATTTGTGAATGTGCGAGGTCTTCTGTGTTAGCGGTTTTGTTTTTTGAGCTTTGTATCATTGCATGATGATTTAGCATGAGCATCAGCTAGTAACGAAAAAGGTCTAATAGCCAAATTGACAAAGTTTATTGATCACTCAGAATTAATGTTAGCAGTTTGGTATAAAGATAGGACTGGGTGCATATTGTGATTAATTTTGTTAAGAAGAATTTCATTTATTCTTATTCTTAAAATTTTAGTTTTTGGAAAGTGCTACAAAGTCAATATGAACGAAGAATTGCACGTCAGTATATACTGGTGCACTACAGAGTTTCAGGTCATGCTCTCATATGTGCTTGCACAGCAGCTTGAAGTATTTTGGCTGTTCCTAACAAGTATGTCAGGAAAACGTGTTGCATAGAAAGTCTTTCAAGTCAGTGATTGTTGGTCTTCCAATAGAGCATTGGCATTGCATAACATAAATGTATTTCACTGACAATACAGAGTTTAGGTGAAGGAGCTGTAACTGAAAAAGATTGCGCTGATACAGCATGGACAGAACCAGAGGTGTTAGACATATGCTTACAGCAACTGTTGCTTATCTGCTGTTAACATGATTTGCCTGATGTGGGAAAAAGGGGTGCCAGACTCTTATATGATACTTGAGTAAACAGCAATTTTTGTTATTGCAGTGTTGTGCATATGCATAACGAAAAGGCTTTGACAGACAAAACCAACAGGCACAGAAAGGTTGCTGAAGATATTCTCTTCTTTGTTTTGCAGCAGGAAGTCAGTGAAGTCCCCCTTACCCTGCCTTCAGAGACCCTAACTAATGGCGACCTGGAGGGGGATGAAGCAGCTGAAGCCCATGGCCTCGAGAGACCTGCAGCTACAATGATAGGTTCACCCTCAGTTTCCACAGCCTCTGGTGGTGTTGCTGTTGCTGTTACCACAGAGACACTGGAACCAGAAACGCACGCTGCTGAAGAAAGGGCAGCGGCCCTCGTGCCCGCAGCGGTGTCAGAGGACCAACTGAAGCAGCGATTAACAGCAGGGGGTCACCCATGTGCCCAGTGCGACCGAGTCTTCATGTCCATGCAGGGACTGAGGTCCCATGAGAGGAGCCACTCAGCCATGGCACTGTTCAGCAGAGAAGACAAATACAGCTGCCAGTACTGCCAGTTTGTCTCACCCTTCAGACACAAGTGAGTAGGGAGGAGCAGGGTCCCTAATTGATACTTCTAACACTGTTTCTACAGTAGAGTCAACTATAGATAGGATGGATCTTATTATTTTTACCAATGTTAATCTGTTGATCCTTTGATCATCCACATAATAGATAGGTATCAGCAGTCACTCACTGAGCAGCTACTTTTTTGAAATCCAACAGAAGAGCAACTGGTGAATCTTTTTATAATGCAACCAAACAAAATGACCTCGCAATCTGATTTCAAAGCTGCCCATGGTGGCCATAATCTGCAGACAGAACAATTCTGAAAATGTTGTTTTATAAACGCAGTATTGAGGAACGATCATGGTCAGCTCTAACCTTTTGCCTTTCCTGTGTCTGCTTCACACAATAAAAGCCATCACGTGGTTTGCCAGTTGAAAACCTTTAATGTGAAGCAGCATCAGTAGGAAATGTTTGCTTAGCATTAGAATAACCCAATAGAGCAATGATATGGCTGTGGGAGGGGAACAGCAAACAGTAAGGCCGGTATTAATAATTAAATAAAAGTAATAATTAAAGATTACGTTCACACATCCTTTCCGGTGAATCCCTCATGCATGTGAATGCTGTGCGGGAATGGATGCGCCACAAACAATGAAAAAGACTATATTGGGAGGTAATTATACTGTAGAATAGGGTTTGATCCCGTGGAAATCTTAAGGATTACAACTTCCAAGTCTAATGATGTTCAAGGAAGGTTAAATCAAGGGCAACTGGACTTGGTTGATACTTGAAGATGTTTCACCTCCCATCAAAGAGGCTTTTTCAGAATTAAAGAAAAAGTTTGCCGTTGATTCTTGAATAACTTTGACCTAGGTGACTGAGAATCCTCACCGACAAGTCTAATGATCTGTCTTATCCTGCCAAGGTTGCTTCCATTTTGAGAGGTGTGACTTTTGGGGCTTATTGCCATCTATTAAAAGCCATGCAATAATGTGTTGTCAGTGATAGATAAATATACCCGCACCCTTTAAATTTGCCCAATATGTAGCACTGGTAGCAGTATGTTTTAAACTCTCACCCTCACAAGTCTTACACCAGCAGTTCTACAAATCAACTAGATGTTAAACTCATTTTGTACAGAGCACAATTTTAAATTTTTTCTGTTTACCCTATCACAAACCCTTTGAATCTTCAATCTTGTCTAAGATTTCCTGCCTCCTAGGAGAGTTAAGACAAACATTACAGCGAGACAGACATTTTGGTAGTGTGATTTGTTTTATCCATCACAGAGACACAGAGCGAGAGGGAAAGAGAGAGTCTTCATCTCCTCTGAGCTCCCAGGTGTAATCCCTCTGTACTGTATGTGCCCTGACCCAGAAAGAAGCTGCATTCCCATGCCACCTAGGAGGCTGGCATTAAAAACACAGCCACCGTCCCCACAGGCACTCACGCACTCATTCCCACCAGGGGATTGTGGGTAGATGAGTTCACCCCACGGCTCCTTGTTCTGTAGTCACTGGAAATGTGCGGCTCTTGTTTGTGAGGTAAACAGAATTGAGCGCTTTAGATGCTGCTGAAAAACCATGCTGTTGAAATCATCAAAGTGGATGCTGTAGAGGTAGAGCTCTCTCTCTCTCTTTTCCTGTACTCTATCCTTGTCGGTTTCTCTCTTTATCTGCTATCCTTTTGTCCTCATTTCATCTATTACTTATTTTTTTTTTTTTACATCTTTTATCCTCTTATCTCATATCCCTCCCTTCTTGTTTTTTTTGTATATTCTGTCTCATCGCCAGTCTGGACAGGCATGTGCAGTCTCACCACGGCCACCACAAGCCCTTCAAGTGCAAACTCTGCCCCTTTAAATCTGCCTACGTGAGTCGCTTGAAGAGCCACCTGCATAAGGCACACACAGGTAAATACAGACACACACACAGACACACACACGCACACACATACATTAAATCACATCTTACAGCTGTATCCATGACTAACAAGGTATTCCCAAGCCAGAATAGCAGCCTCCTGCTTATATCTTCCACATAACAATGCTGTGCTTGAATTAGCTTATGCAGCACAATGCAACCAGTGGATTAGCTGGAGGAGCAGCTTCACCATTCACTGAGTACATTAGATACACCTAATTAAGCACATCCAAAAGAATCACATTTGCATTCAGATTTGAGCCTAAATAGCCCAGATGAATTTCTTGTTAATATTGTTTATTTGGGAAAATGGTTTGAAACCCTCAGCATGTTACAAAGGTGAAGGCACATCGGTGTCTTTAGTTACACTGAGTGATTCTTTGCTGTGATTGTTTTTTGTTTTCGAGGGAGCCAGACAGCAGACAAAGACATAGATATTCAAGGAAATGCTAAAAAGCACCACCTGAGCAATCAATATATGAGCAAAAGAAACAGTCTTAAGTCTGGTAAGCTAGAAAAGTGCTCTCAACTGTCGGATTGGTGAGAACAAGAAACAGCAGAATACGTTAACAACTGCTCCAGATAATTGACACAAACCAATTTTGAGTTGCAATTACATTTGAAAGGTGGAGTTTTGTACACTTTGTGAAAACAATCAGCATTCAGTTTCATCATTGTGGATCAGTTCTTTATATGTGTGTCTTTGATTACAGTCCAACCAGCGGAAGATATTTTGGATTGAATGTCTTAGCAGAAACCGTTCAATCACAAAGTAGTTTGTTATTAAACTACTTCTTGTAATAATGTTTGCTTTGGTTGTAATGGCGCCACTCCTCAGGATGCTACTTGCCTTAGGTTGTTAAGCATATATATCCAACAGCTACAGGAAGCAAAATGCTTTAAATGCATTTAAAACTCTACTAAAGTGTTTGCCAACACACAGTAGCCAAAACAACATCAGTACAGTCATTTGCTTGGCTCACCAACCTGAGCAAAACTTAACGTTGGCTCTGGGGTCAGTCTGACTCAACAGATGTGGCCGACCTTTGCAATCTTCTCCATTCAGGTCTCCTTTGCCAGTTTCATTGAAAGACAACAAAACAAGCAGTAGAACTAGCTAGCGAGCTTCATGCTAATTATAAAAAATATTTCAAAAGTTCCTGACTATGCGTGATACCTCTTTGTGTGTGTGTGTGTGTGTGTGTGTGTGTGTTAGGGCTGAACAATTAATTCAAATCAAAACATGTGTCCAAAAACCATTTTAAATTTAATATTGTCATGCTGCAGAGATGTCCTGGCCTACACATCATAATCTACAGACTTAAGAAAACATCTTTGTTTGGTACAGATCCTTGCAAAAATAACACCATAATCATTTAAATATGTTTTTCAATGAAAATGAGAATAATGATTATCATTAGAGAAAAATTATCATTCCTTTCAATCGCAAATCTTATTGCTATTGTAATATCAGTCACAATAATAGAACATAATAATTGCAATTAGATATTTTTTCAAAATTGTTCAGCCCGTGTGTGTGTGTGTGTGTGTGTGTGTGGGTGTGTGTGTGTGTGTGGGGTAAAAGGTTATTTTATGTGGAGTATTGTATGTGTTTTCTATCTAATTTGTTTAATGTTGTATATGTTTACTGTGAAGCACATTGAGTTTACCTGTGTATGAAATGTACTATACAAATATAATTGACTTGACTAATTAGTCCAAGGGGAGCACTATGTGAGTACAAGATGACATATTTCTTACAGACTGGCTCTGAGGGGAATAGCTTTGTTAGTGGGGGACGATGTGTTTATTATCACTATATTTAAAGAATCTTCAACCATGTACAAGTCTTTGAAAATCTTTGTCTGCCTTTGTTCAGTCAGTTTCATATAGTAGTCAAGTTGTTGACGTGATGATTTTGGATTTTCCTTCAGGTGAGCAGCACACATACAAGTGCTTGTCGTGCCCCTTCTCCTCTATGACCATCAGCCAGCTGAAGGAGCACTCTCTGAGAGACCATGGTGAGGCCCTGACCCTCCCCAAACTGCGGGCTGCTACCCAGGCTGCTCATGCCGCCCTCAGGCCCTCCCGGCCGGCCAGTAACACAGAGCAGACTCCAGTGGACCTGGATGGTATGAGATCCTGCATAATGTCGTTTTAATAAGATCATAGGATAGGCCTGTCACGCTAGATTTGGAAAATCTCAATTGAGCATCAAAGCAGAATCCATTGTAATACAAACACCCTTAAAACAGAGTTTCTTAGCTTTGGAGAAAAGGGCCCAAGTGGGGTTTGATGAAGAAATATATATGTTAGAAATATGCCTACATCATTTTCTCTATATATCATTTATATGTATATATATGTATATCACTATGTTAGGGCTGCAACTAACAATTACTTTCATTATTAGGATGTTTTTTTCTTCTGTTCTAGATAATCATGTGGTTCATAAAATACCAGAAAATAGTGAAAAATGCTCATTATAAATTTCCACTGTCGAGGAGATGTACTCGCATATCCATATTTAATTCGACCAACTTTTCAAAGCCCAGAGAGACTCACTTAACTGTCATTTTATGACAAAGGAAAGAATCAAATCCTCACATTTGAGAAGCTGGATCTAGCACATGTTTTGCGTTTTTGATTGAACAATGACTAAATCAATTAGCAAAATAGCAGATGAATTTTACTTTATTGATTAAATGACTACTCAAATTTAACTTCAGAGCTATTTCATTCACATCCTAAACTTTAGGTGTTATTTATTGTTTTTTTTATACTATTAATGTAACACATTAGATTTGCTATAAATAGGGAAAATCAGCAGTTAGCATCAACAAGTCTGTGTCATAGTCCTTGGAAGGGTTGTGTACACAGATTGAATACATTTTATGAGAATTCAGGAGTTTGACTGCTGAGATTTGACTACCTAAGCCTTCTTTTATGTTGATTATGATGCCTGTCATTACTGAATATTTTCTATCAAAGAGGTGCCTTCACTGTAGGGCGGTGTAGCAGCTAACTCCTTGATGTGATGCCGTGTTGTAGGTGTTTTAGTGGCTGAGCAGCCGCGGCTTTAGCTTGCAGACTGTTCTTGGCAGCAGCTGCCACCTTGCTGCTGGAGCTGTGGAATCTTCCCTGGAGCTGAAGCAGGGCAGCATTCCTCAATGCTCCGACCACCACTGTCAGCTGTGCCCTACCAAGACAAGCGAAGCATTGAGAAAGAGCAGAGCTGACATATTGAATGTCTCTCCACTGTGCCAAACCAGCTACCTTCAGTTGAATGTCTAAAAGTCTGATATTTGTAGTGGAGGGTTTGTTTTAAAAGGTTAACATTTTATTGGCTCTGATTGATTGAATATAGCTGCAGTTTTTAACAGTTACACCTGCACCTGCCCTTTATATGTAAGACCGAAGCTCTTTGAGCTCCAACCCCATCCTCACTTTTTGTATGCTGCATTAAGATCATCCTTAATAATTTTAAGGCATTTTCCTGTTCCACTGTCTTCAACTCCTCACAGAAGTATCCCACCTCTCGTTTATGCAATGTAATAGACGCATCACCACTTTATGACAGAATTTGCTTTCCATCTGCTGTCTCATCTCCATACATCTCCACAATGCAGAGAAGATATTAAAAGCATGAATCAACTGTGGCATTGTTTCATTCGTGTGAATTCCTCTGCCTCCTCTGCGAAAGTGAGAAATTGGTTCTCAAGCATTTTGTAAAGTAAAAGTTTAAAAGAGAAGTGTTTTTTCTTCCAGTCTTCCTCATACTCTTGAGTGCTGAATGAAGCATTTTTCACATGGATAGATATTCTATTAGTGTCACTGTGGTTTATTTATTGATGTGTTGGAGGCTCAAAGTAGGACGAGAAGATGAGCTTGCTCACTGATATTATAGACTCTTGAGAAAGGGAATGAGGAGGGAAAGAGGTAGGGGACAAACGATGACTGTCATAGTGATACTTCTGTATCTATGAGGGGGAGGGGACACAACTACATTCCAGATAGTCTTGTCTCATTTAGAGAGTAAAGGATCAACTGCTTATTAAATACTATGTATGTGTACAGAATATCTGCACTTTGTTTTTGAAGAAATCAGATATAAATAGAAAGAGGACGCAGATGAATCTATTTGGAGAAGATAAATAATGTAGGTTAAACTCCATCCTGCTCTGTAAAGTTATCCATTGGAATAACATGAGTCTTAGATGTACAGTGACTCTTGTGGGTTGAAAACTAGTGCCCAAATCCTTGTGACATTAGCTGAAAAGATATTATTTTAATTCCAATCATGTGTTCATGTTAGATTGGTCTATGTTAGGAAACAGTCTTGAAAGAGGAATATACTAATATACAAATTTAAATGGAGCTTGTTTGACTACTTTATGTAGAGTTAGGTAGTTTAGTACAGTGCTTCTCAACCTAGGGGTGGGCCCTCTAAAGGCTGAAAAGATAAATCTGAGGGGTCATGAGATGATTAATGTTCTGCTACATAAATATGCACTCTTATTTTCACTTCTCTAATCTTTGCTTTTTGTGAAATGTTTGAGAGTTTTGCCTCTGTGGGCCACCTGTTTAAGTTTAGAGGGGAAATGTATCTTTGTGGAGCTGCTTGTGGAACATCTTAAATGTGCCCCAAGTAGACACTTCTTTTTTGTAAGTGGTCACAGGCCAAAAAGGTTGGAAAACGCTAGTTTAAACAGTGTGTTGTCTTTCATAAGCTGTTCCATATTAACACTGTTATAATAGAATAAACATCCTGTTATCTCAATTTCTCTGACCCTCTCTCAGACCCATCATACCTGGAGCCAGCGGATGTTCGTCAGCAGCTTAGTCATTACCAGCTGGCCTCCCGCAGTCACATGTCTTCCAGCTCAACACCTGGTGGTTCAACAGTGGCTGACAATCGACCAGACGGCATCCTCACTTGTGAGTTCTGTGAGTTCAGCTCTGGATACATGCAGAGCTTGCGTCGGCACTACAGGGACCGTCATGGTGGCAAGAAGCTCTTCAAGTGCAAAGACTGTTCCTTTTTCACCTGCTACAAGTAAGGAAAGACTTCAGCTTGACAGGGATATACAATATGACTGTTGTATGCTATATGCTAAATATGCAATATAAGTATAGAAGCTTATGCAAAGTATATATGTATATTAATGTAAAGTAGTAGAAACACACATTGAACTGTACATATACTAGATAGACCAGCACTGAATACATTCTCTCAATATGTCTGTGAAGGTTCTCAGTCATCCAGGTCATAGTTACCCAAGGAAGGTTAAAATTAAGGGCAATTGGACTTGGTTAAAGATACTCAAAACACATTTTATCCCTCATCCGAGAGACTTCAGACAGTTAGAACTGACGATGTCTCTCGAATGAGGGACGAAACGCTTTCGAGTATCTTCAACCAAGTCCAAGTCCTTGTATTTAACCTTCTTTGGAATCTCTCAATAGTGATCTTTTTTTCTGTCTCTGAATCAATCTCAGGAATACCTTCACCATGCATGTGGAGGCTGGTCACAACAACAATGCACCTGACGACTTCCCTAAAGACCTGCGCTGCCCTCTCTGCCTCTACCACACCAAACACAAGAGCAATATGATTGACCACATTGTCCTGCACAGAGGTACACATCATGCAAAATGGAACTAGGGACATATTGAACTCCACTTTTAAAAGAATAGTACAACATTTTGGGAAATGCGCTTATTTGCTTTCCTGCTGAGAGTTAAATAAGAAGATGCAGCAAGATGGAAATAACCACTTCTGCTATGTAGAGACTGTGCAATGACTTCCTGGAGTCTCCGCTGGTTGCCTGGTAACCTCACAGTAATGACAAGACCAGGAAGTGACTTTACTCAGCCAAAAAAATAGTCCGGCACATTATGCTGTGTTCACACAATGTTGGTAGAATGTGAGATAAAAGGGAAACCTCCTGTTATTCCCACTGTGTTTCATGATTATTCCAAGATGGTTACCCCAACTGCTTGTCTGCCATATAAATAAACTGACTACTTCTGCAGTGTAACATATTTGTAGCAGTTTGTTAAAAAGTGAGACCAGATACAAACTGTGTATAGCTTCTCTTTAATTATCAGACTTGATTGTGTTTAGATGTAACAGCCAGTGATGGTGCTATGTTGGCTGGGTTAGTTCTTTTCACCAAGGGGAGGTACTCAGAGTTACAAGTTGCAGGCTGACATGAACGTTTTTTTGCCACTCTACAGCTAATCATTACGGTTTACCTCTCATAAAATCACAACTTTTTCATTTTTACAGTTTGCATGGATTAATTAAATGAGATACAATGTGTTAGTGAGCTTTAGAGGTTCGGGTTTACTTTTTAACAGAGCCAGGCTAACTGTTTTCAGTCTTTGTGCTAAGCTAACTGTCTCCTGGCTCCAACATCACATTTACCATACAGACATGAGGGCGGTATCAATCTTTTCATCAAACAAAATGTCAATTCCTTTAAACGCTATCACAGTCAAATGAGTGTTGGCAGTTGGCAGTAATGTGGTGTGATTAAGTGGTTTAAGAAAGTTCTGCAATGCTAGGGCTTATCAAACGTATTTACTGAATGATTGACAAACTGGACATACTCCTGACAAAACCCTGATGCATGCACCATGTATCCCATTATAAAAAATGTAAACAGAATACAAACAAAGCAAACACAAATTATATAGAAACCGTATATACAAGTGGAGCTATTCATTTATTGAATAATGAAGGCATTGCATACAGTGTATTAGAACAGTCATAAGAACTGAAAGGTAACACTAGACACTTTGAATACAAGCAAGCACAGAGGGATGGAACTGATGCGGTAGGTCAGTAACACCTTTTGGGGGGTGTTTTTGCTAGTTTTAATATGGGACTATCTTTCTTTTGTATATATTTTGTTCTGTCGTTAGCTCTCGCTGCTCTTCTTTCCCTCTCCCCTGCTCTGCCATTATTTCCATTGCCTTCCATTTCCATTGCCTTCCATTTCTCCAACCTAATAATCCACTTCACTTTCTCCTCCTCCTCCACCAGAGGAGCGTGTGGGTCCACTGGAGGTCAGCCGCTCCAAGCTGTCACGTCACCTTCAGGGCCTGGTGTTCCGTTGCCACAAATGCACCTTCACATGCTCCAGTGACCAGGCCTTGCAGCTGCACCTGCAAAAGCACGCTGAGATCAAACCCTACCAGTGCCAGCTCTGTTATTATGACAGCAGTCGACGGAGCCAGCTAGAGGAGCATCTACGCCTTGAGCACAAGGTCAGCTGGATTCTGCATGATGTTTTGTGCAACTAAACTAAATTGATATACAGTACCTTACGTAATTGGTTTCTACAATATGATTGAAAAAGTAGCAAGAATATGGCCATCACTAATATGTAAAATGGCCTCATTTGGCAGATGAGAGGCTTTCTGGGGAGTTTTACTGAATGTGGTTTTTATAATCAGTCTGCTTAATGGATAGAACATGAGATGTTTTCAGCTTATACACGCTGTCATTTCAAACTGTTAGTTTGTTAGTCTGTTATTAGTTCTAACCTTTGCTGGTTTTGTGGGAGCTTATCAAGAGGCCTGTGCCAAGCAACTGTCTATATTCTAACAGTGCCAAATCTAATTTACAACTCCTAAATTAAACTTGTCAGCTGTAATCAGCTGCTGGATTGATAAAAAAAGAACAAAAAACAGATCAAACATCTGGAAACACTTTGAAACCCAGAAATAGAACTGATGCAATTTTTAAAATAAAATCTATATAATCAGGCAAGTAAAAAGAGTTTCATCTTTAGCCACCAAACTCCAGTGGAAATCTTTTCACACAACACCATAGTAAAAGCTTCTAAAATTGTTATAGTAAAACTATTTAGCATGCCAAAAGGTAGTCTTTTTTATTTTTATGGTCTCATTACACAATAATACAAAGAATTGTAGTCAATGATAAGTCATGACATGTATTCACATTTTGAAGCGATGCCATGCAGCAGGTGGGAAGAGGGTGCACGCAGACTGAAACAGCCAGTAAACGCCCAGTAAAAGTGCAGCAATAGCACAGGAAAAGACTTTGTTTATTTGGTGATTTTAGGTTCACCCAAACTTCAGTAAGAGTTGGAATCTCTTTGCCTCAATATACTGCTCCTTTGCCTTGCAGCTTCACTTGTGTAAAACTGATGAAATGACAAAAAAGGAGCTGAAATGCAGATTTCTACAATATCAGTTGAAATGTAAATACGCTACTCCCACTGACTACGGGTGAACGCAGCAGTTTCACCTTAAAACCCATATCAGCCAGCCTTAAGGGTCAGGGAAAACCCTGTTAATGATTACCTCGCAGCTATCATTCATTGTGTGTATGGTATAATTTTTTCAACTTGTGTAATAAAACTTTATTAGATGAGAAATTATAAGACCATCCGAATTACAGTGGACCATAAAGTCAGTCAGGTTAATGAAAGTATGTAAAGCACTAAATTTGTTTGGCCCACAAAACACCTCTGTTCTTCCCTCCTTATTTTTCCATTCAAACATCATCCTTTGGAGTCCTTAAAAGTAAATATTACCACATGGAGGGGATTTATTAAAACAAGATGGCATTGATACACAAGCTTACAAAGCCCAAGTGGAACTCTATGTTGTATCTTAACAGATAAGGAGACAAAAAATATCTGTGAAATGGCTACTGAATGATACAGTGGGACAAGATGAGAAGGTGCATATAATTCTAGAGCTTATATATAAACATATATATAAGAGCTCAGTGCAGGTTTTGTTTGTATTGTATGAATACTGGCAGGTGCTGCTAGCATTCTCTGACTGGTGGGTTTTTCCCCACTTATGTCTACATATTTGGTACTGGTGCTGCTGTTTGTCTTTATAAATTTTATTTGATGAAAGTATGAGGACCAAATAAATCATAAATAAAGTGAGTACAAGTGATTGGCAGTGTGGGGGAGTTTTTGGTCCTTTCATGTGTAGATGAATGGAAAAAAAGGTCAAGAAAACGATGAAGGCAATCGGAATTTTTTTTTTTTTTATATTTGATGAGTTTTATTTTTGCCATCAGACTAATGTAAATATACAGCTCTATCTTGGAAAAACAGCCATGTCCAATGTTGACATGCAGTTAAAAGGACGAATGAGAGAGCAGGGCTCCTCCTGGGTGAGACACATAGCTAAAGCTTAAGAACAGATGTTGGGAGGAAGGAATTGCTCAGAAAGAGTGACATAATTTGTGATACGATACATAATCCCATATAACCCCATCTTATAATCAAAATATTAAATCTTCTTCATCAAAATACCTCTGTTTCATATCATTATAAGTTGACTGATCGTCTTATGCTGCAATATACAGTATACAAACCTCTGGCCTATTAGATGACAGGCCTTCACAAACAGCTTGAAAAGCTGTTGTTGTACTTTGGGCTAATAGAAATTTCAAGCAGCCTCAAAACATAAAGATTCTGTTGAAAAATGGGCTTCTGCTAAAACATTTACTTATTTTGTGTTACAAGAAATTAACTAAACATCAACTTTAATGTCTTAACCCAGTTGTAAAATCCATATAAAGAGGTTCCAGAATTTATAAAACTGATTTCAGTAAGGAACGTTATGATATCCTAAAATACATTTATTTGCTTTTAAGTTGCAATTTACTTTATTAAAAAAAGAAAAATTAAGTCCTAAACACACATACATGTAATATGCCTTGTGCAAAATGTAGTTTCCACCCTTTCACTTGTTAATGTTTTTGAAGGCTTTAAGAAACAGTTTCCCAAGATAAGTACTGCTCAGACAGTGGGGTAATGTGGTAACAATGGGCCCCAGTGCAGGCTGTTATGATGGGTCCTTGGGCTACACCGTTACGAAGCACACACTGCATTCTTGTCTAGCAGGGAACCCTATATTGGCAATTTTATGAGCCTTGTTTCCTTGTTTTGCCACCGTTTAACAACTGATAAGATTAGATGCAGTAAATACCTAATTTAAAGCTCCTTAAATTGATTTCTTTCCATATTAACATATTAAATTCAACATTTCTCTTTGTGTGCGTCTCTCTAACACACACACGCTGCTGCTGCTGCTGCTGCAGCAGCTGTGTTGCGTGCGGCGGTACCATCATGTGATGTATTTTGTTGGTGTCACCTAGACAAAAGTACAAAAGTCAAAGAGAAAGTTATAAGGAGCATGGCCAGTGTTGTCATTGTTAAAATCCTGAAACGTCACTACAAACAGCTGAGTGCAGGGGAGGTGTGCGCAGTGCTGAAATGACACAGACTTTTTTGGACAACTTCAGTACAATAACCTCCCAAATCACGACAATCACATTCCTCATCGACAGAGAATGCAAGACATTATGGTGAATAATAAAGAAAAGTGGCCTACTAATACCATAACACCATGTTCTGAAAACAGGCCAGCTACGGCGCACACACAGTTTAATACCCACAAGCCCATCCGCACAATTAAACAGGTAGGACTATTCAGCGGCTATCTGTCCCTGAAATGATACCAGCCTTTAAGACAACGGCACGGGAGCCACACCAAACCCACTGAAAAAGCACTTGTAAAGTTACTCACCTATTTTAATGGCATCCAACAAGCCTGCATTGAGCGAAATCTTTGACAATGTCCTCAGTAATCCAAAACCATCTTATTTGGGAGCTTTGTCACCCTCTCCTCCTGTTCTTTTCTCTCCAGTCTCTTACTGAAAAAACTTTTATGTGTGAATACCATGACTGCTAGCTTGCACGTGTGCTCTGCTAGTCTAGTCAGATTTTGCGTTTCACCCTGTTTCTGGATTCTTGTCATCTTCTCACATGATCAAATAGAAATTTAAGATTGGGCATTCATTTACACATTACCCAGCAATCATCACTGCATAAGTGGGCAATGTGACACAAATACCAAAGAAAATAAGACTAAATTCATTCTGTTAAATCTGTGGAATCTATTTTTTTATATACCATGTAACTCAGACTAAGACCAGCTCATAACTCGGCGGGCCCACACTGTACAGGGGGCCCTTGATGGGAGCGGGCCCGTCGAGTTATGAGCTGGTTTTGCATTGGTCCCAATGCAGCTGCACGGTGTGCACTATCTATACCTATGCTCCTGCGCTCAGAGCACACAATACCAAACTAATTAAGACCTCCTGTTTGTGATCAGGTTATCAGGAACTTTGAGCTGATGGGCCGGGTCAACCTGGACCAGCTGGAGATGATAAAGGAACAAGGAAGCAGCGCAGAGGAGGAAGAAGAGAGAGAAATCATGGAGATGGTTGGAGATGGAAAAGTAGCTGCTGCAGAGGAGGAGGATGATGACGATGACGAAGGAATGGAAATTATGGAGAACATAGTGGAGGAGCAGAGAGAGATGGATGATGAGGATCTAGAGGACGACATCAAAGAGGAAGAGGAGGAGGAGGAGGAGGAGGAGGAGGAAGAATATGAGGAAGAGGAAGATGAAGAGGAAGTCAAGGAAGTGGAGGAAGAAAGGCCTGCTCTACAAGGTAAATACAGATTAAGTAATAAAGATCTTGTCATTCTCTTATGTAATATTGCATAATATACTCCTCCTTATATATAAAGCCACATTATTTATAATGTGAACTTGGTTTTGAAAACTGAATACTTATTATCAAATGACAACACACCTAATCCTGTCTGTCAGTAACTGTCGGGGTATAGAAGAAAAAGTATTTCAAGAAGTTTGAATCCTCCACTTCTTGGTTCTATCGATTCTTCATGAGCAGTGTTTGTCTTCCAAAATAGTCAAAGTCTCATTGTAATTCTGAATTGATTTTTTCATTTCAGTCTTCTATCTTATAATTCACTGACTATACTTGACTGGTATCGGTTGCTCGTTGAAGGAGAAAGTAGATTTCATACCAAAATATTACTGATCATCCCTGCTCTACAGAGGAGCCAACATTCATTTCTAATACATTAAGCCTTTCTACTTTGTGATTGATGTATAACTTTGTATAGGATGCTGATTACCTGATAATAAATACATTATAGCAGGGGTTCCCAAACCTTTTCAGCTAGAGACCCAAAATTTACAAAAATACATCATGAATTGCCATAACATCTTAATTTATAAACTAACAAAGAACACAACAAAACGTGAATTTAAAATGCAGATTGTAATATGATTCTGCCGGTCTGTGTTCCAGGACCTCCTGATTTACAAATTATGTACTACATTGCATTGTTATGCTTTTACTCACCTACCAAAATGGGTCCTCAAATATTGTAAGAAATAGGAAATGGACACTTGTGAAATTACTCTATTCTGAGGATGACCAATCATTTGATCTCTATTTCCCAGAAGTTCTAGCATCTCCCACCAGCAGCACCAGCAGCAGCTCTGGGCCGAGCGCTGCAGAGAAGCGTCTCCCCTGTGAGTTCTGTGGGCGCTGCTTCACCAACAGCCTTGAGTGGGAACGACATGTCCTTCGACATGGCATGTTAGTATTTTTTTCCTATTTCCTCTTTGCTTTTTTTCCTTTTTCCTATTTATCTCTTTGTGTGTGAGCTTGTGCACCTTAAGCCACCATGGTCCACTTTACCTAACTTTTTGGTCTTTGCTCAAACAATTTAGTTCTATGAAAAAAAAACCTTTAGTTCTGTGTTTATTTTATTAAAGGCATGAGTTTGTAATGTAATGTCATGTTCCTCAGATGATCAATCATAATAACTTGGGAAATCAGCTGACTTTCCATTAGGTTGACATTTCCCCAGGGAATGAGTTGTAATAACTTTGCTAATCTCCTGACTTTTCATCTAGCACCACCATCAAATAGATTTTCAGTTTGTCCAATACTTTGGTTTATGACCAAATACCTGATGAATTAATGACATTACCATCAGCCTTGGCTTTACCCTGTGTTTAGTGCTGATTAGAAAACGTTAGCATGCTAACATGCTAAATTAGGATAGCAAACATACCTGCTAAACATTAGCATGTTTGCATTGTGAGCATGTTAGCCTCACCTTTGCTGAAGTACAACCTCACACAGACTTTTAGCCCTGTTTTATTTCTGTCCACACTGGATACATGTATATATGTGTCATTAGTCAGATGTTTTTCACATCTTTCCACATCTTAAAAGCACTTACTTTTGCTCCCTCTTCATTGTAAGGATGGTTAACAACAGCCGAATGGATACCAGCACCACCTCCGCAATAGAGGCCTCAGCGTCATCTTCCAGTGGCTCCTCTGTCCTAATGGAATCAGGTTTGGACCTGTCCAGCAAAGAGGAAGGGAACCCCGCTGATTTATCACTGAGAAGTCAAAGCCAGTATGTGGAAGACAAAGCAATGCTTGAAACCAAAAAGGATCAACTATTTGGTTGAACTGATTGTGGGCTCTTGTGCTAGAAACTGATAACATTGGGTAGGCTCAGCACTGAGATGGATCTTAAAATAGGACGTTAAAGGAAACAAAGAGATTTAAACTGAAAAAAAGTGACTTCTTATGAGTTGACGCATCACTAGATTTTAGATGTTACATATTTAAGTATTAGGTTGTGCTGCATAAAACGGCTGAGCTCTTTAAATGGGCAGTCCCCTAGGACAGATCTTAATATATTGGTAACCAATAGTGAACAGAACTCTTTATTGCTGACATTCTGGTCAAATCTACAGTGAAAGATCCCACCTAGATAAAACAAAGCTATTTATAAAGAATGTTGTCCAAAATGATTAACTAAATTTAGCATTTTATTATTTGAAGCACCTTTTACACTCCCCCTGCTCATCCAAAACAGGGTTACTGTAAATTTACCTAAAAGGAACAAATAAAATATGAAAGCATTTACACCCGTTGCCCACTGTAGAGCTACCTTTTCTTGTTTCTTGTTGAAATTTGAGACTTTTTTTCATCTTAGCCTCATGTTAAATGTGTAGAAGTATTCCCTGAGGAAGAGTCGCACCTTATCTATTTTAGTAAAATGACAGTTCATGTTTTCTTCATTCGTAGAAATACTGATAATTTCCCTCAATGTTTGTAGCAAATTGCTATATTTTAGGTCCCTTAATATTATACTACGTATAAGCCTTCAGCCTGTGGCACCCTTCACATTTTGACTGTACTATTTTATTGCCCAGTAATTTCACTGGTGAAATCGTGGAAATAAATGGACTGGTTTAAATCTTCCTTCCCCTGTAAAATATCATGTTGTTTGTAGTCCAGGTTAAACAATATGACAGTTGACCTGTGCACTCAGAAGATCAATATAACAACAGTGATATGTTTAACGTGTCATGACTGAATCTATATGATATAGTTATCCGTTAAGATGAGCAAAAGCAAAAGTTAGCCCAGAACCTTACTACAGGTTTTAACAACGGTGGTGTAGTATTTGCAGACATGATCAATAGACTGAGATTACACAGTGCAAAATTTGTAATTGGATGTGCCAGAATTCAGCTCTGTTCACATACTGTTAGTGGATCCACAAATGATAATTAAATGCAACGTTTGGAGGCTTTTATTGACATATGCATACCTGCGATCTGACTGACGGGATTACACTGTGCGCCAACCAAGTGTTGACCACCACGGCTGAGTGTTGAAGCCAGTGTGCAAGTGCTTTCAAGGGCAGTTCCTGTAATGGCTTTCTTTAATTCATTGTTTAATTAAGATCAGATTGGGTTAATCAATTGCACAGACAGTAAGTACTGGTACAAAGAAATGTGGTTTATCATCTAAACAGGAAATGCAAATGGTAACAAAGAGGATGAGGTTTAATCAAACATTATATATATATATATATATATATATATATATATGCCCTGCAGATAGCTTTGATTTATTGCCAAGGTTTTGAGAAATCCATCTCTGAGATTTGTATTTCTGCTAATCCAATAGAAGGGAATGGAATTTCATTATTTCATTTGTTATACTCACAGCATTGAAACTTTTCAGAAATTTTCATCTGAACTATTTTGTACCAAATAAATAGTCCCTATGAAAGCTGACAGTGTGTTCTGTGTGTTGTTTTTTAAGTATGTTTTTTTTTAATGCTGTGAGCACCACAAATGAAATGCCATGCTAAAATTGGTATGTTTGGAGCCATGTTTACTTGACTGACAGATGTCTCTGCCTTTCACAGTCAGCCCTGGTGATTACCTCAACTCCATCCAGTTTCCTCCACATCGCCCAAATTCGCATTTTTACACTCCAAAATGACTGACAGGCTGGCATCGAGGATTAAACTCAAATCTAGTGCTTCAAAACACCCCTTCAGAAACTTATGGCTGATGCCACAGACACCAAACATGTTTTTCTACAGTCTATTGTCCAGTTTTGACATGATGGGAGACACTGAAAAGACAAGTGTAACCAGGTCAGAAAGTCCTAAAACCGTTTGTTTCCACATATATAAAGTATATTCGGCACTGGGACTGTATCTTGGAGATTTTACTTTTTAAAGGTGTCAAATTCCCCAACTTTAACCCCTTTAAATTCTCATCCTGTATTGAAACAACTGTCATAGCTTGCATTTGTGTGCTTCTTTTTAGAAAATGTTGTTCACGTTATTGTTGATACTGACAAAAGGCAGAGATTGTATTTGTTGGAAGTTGCTGCTTGAATGCCCTAAAGCCTTATGAGATAATGAATAGCAATTAAGTCAAATTTATGTCCAATTCCAATAAGACCAATAAGCAAACTTAAGTGGCCTGAAATAAAATGGCTGATAAACACAATGTTAAATTTGTAGAGGAGCACAGTTAATGTAATTGTGTTCTTGGTACCAAAATATTTACCAAACCTGCTGTGTTTGCTGCTGTGATTGTCCTTCCTGAGCATTTAACCATTGATGGAAATGGGAAATCTGGGTTAGGACCATAGAATTTTGGAATTAGAGTTCTATGGATGTAACCCAGGTAAACTACATGTCTGCAGCCATGTATAGAAAACAAAACTACTCGTTTAAGTGTTTGAACTGTGGTGTTTCAGAAAGGATACTTTAACCCTTTTTTCCTTTAGGTGTTCTCAATTTTTTTCAAAAAAAGAAAAAAAGAAATCTAAAGATGATAGCTAACCCTTAGGGGCTTTTTGAGTCCCCAATCCAACATTATTACACTGTTGTACAATGTCTGGTTACAATGAAAATATCTCCTTTTTTGTACTGTAATGGGAATGAGCAGATAGGAAGAGCAGTGTGGTTGTATAATATTTAAAGGCGAGAAGGAAAATGATGCAGTTCTGCGGCCAATTAATGGCCAGGGCTTTTATTGCAAAGAAGAAAAACATGGCAGAGTAAGACACAAGAAAAAAATTGTTCCTTTTGGGGCATTTACCTAAACTGCTTGGTCCTTTTCTGGGATTGGCCACCATCTGGGTTGCCAGAAAACCAATAGATCCATCTGCGATCTAGCTCACTCATGTCCACTCTGACATCTGACACACCAGTATCTTCTATCCCTGACCTGTAAGGGCATCAGCTCACTTGTTCCAAGTAGGCCTGTTCATAGTCTACCCTGTCAACAATAGGTGGGAATGTAGCAGCCCCACTTTGCTCCTCAGTCCTTGTTATACCTTAAAAACCGGTTGAGTTGGTGCTGAATCTCAAAGCGCTTTTTCTGTTTTTCAGGACCAGCTTGTAGCTTTTTGAAAGTGAAACCGTTTGAAAACTGTTGTTGTAGAAATAAGCTTTGTAAGGCAGCTTGTTGCCCAACTTGAAAGCCCAGTAAAGCAGATGATAAACTGGGACGATCTGGGTAATGAAGCTGTCAACCCCAAATTGTTTGTTGTTCTGTGATCATTTTAAGAGAAAATGACTATGAATCCCTCACTGTGTGCAGTCTCTAGACTGTAATATTCCCAGTTTACCCAAAGTTACGCCCCTGCTGACAACACACTGGATACTTGTATATATGTTTAGTTTGTTTCCGATGCATTTCTCTTTTCAGACTGTTGTCTCCATAGTTTGACACTAGAATCTCTCCTTCTTGCCTTTCTTCCCATATAAATCTGATTACCTGATGGTGGGTTGTGATGTTGCCTAGAATGATTGTTTACAATTTTATTCCATTTATCTCTGGATATTCTGTAAATATTGTAATTCATTGTCTTTTTTTAACTTGATAATAAAGTTATCAGATAACGGTTAATTGTGTTTATCTCCTCTTTGGGCTGACAAATATTGTTTAAATTCAATCAGGGCTGTAAAATGTGACTCTTGCTTAACACTAAGATGTTAAGACTGTGATAATTTAAATATAGAATTGTGGGAACATGCTCTACTTTTACCTTGTGAAATAACATTTTCTATATTTTAAGCGGACTTCATACACATGATATCACCTGTAAAATCACTTCCATGTGTGATATATAACTGCCCTCAAAGTGAATTATGCATATCAGCACATATGTCAAAGTATTAAAACTCCCTGATAATACAGCCTTCTAAATAGCAAATTGAATTCTTAGAAAAACAATCTTTATCAATTTTGATCAAATAGTGAGTACTTCATTACTTGCAGTTTATGCTGCATATGAGTATCATAGGAAAAGGCCTCCATTTTTATTTCTTTCGTTGTATTTATACAAAATGTATATTATTACCACTGCCTTCCTTGTCACTGTCACAATGTTCTTGCTCATGTTTGTAATGGTTGGGTCACTGTAAATAATATTATGAAGAGTACTGTCAGACCTGCTCTATATGAAAAGCGCCCTGAGATAACCTCTGCTATGATTTCACGCTATATAAATAAAAAAAATATTTAATACAAATACCCAGCAAATGTCTGTCTCCAGGTGGCAGAACACTAAAGAAGGGGTGGGCATAGCTACTTCATGTTAGTCATAAATTAAAAAAAAAAGATTAGATAGGCAATCATTTACAGTTCGTGGCAGTGAGAAGAGCTGAAACTCATTACACTACATTTGCATCTGAGGTCTTCTCAGAAGGCCATTAGTAAGTGCCCATAGAGAGGAACAAACACCTGACTTTCACCATTGGAGCCAGCCTTATCTTACTAAAAATAACATTATTTGCTTAAATCTTTGGACAGCAATGATACCTTTGGAATCCCAGTTTGAGAATGTCTCTAAGCTAAAGATATTTTTAGTCATGCCAAATTGAGCTCAAACCACCACACCTAAGTAGAGCTTCACAGAGCTGCTAGCATGTCTTGTCATTAGCCTTACTGTATGTTTATTCTTACCATTCACTTTTAGGACGGTTAACAACAGTCAGATGGACAACAGCACTACTTCAGCCTTTGTGTAGTATTTGTTGGTGATACTCAGTGGACACACTCTCGTCCAGTAATGTGCAGTAATTCACACCTCCTCCCAAGTTAATCATATCCTTTGTGAAATGTATTCATAGTTATCTTTTCTAGCTTTTGTGCAACATGTTTCCCATTTTCAGTGACATATAGGATTTCCTTTGTAACATGTCCACAGAGCCGCTAGAACAACCAATAATAGTTCGGGCAGCTTGTCCACAGGAAATAGCTTTGGGCTGAGAAGGCATCTCAGTGGCCTTCACTTTGTGTTCCACCCTTCTGTTGCTCTCTCTCTCTTCTCTGCTCTACTCCACTCCACACTCTGCAACAGCTCTGCTGACCAAAGCTACAAACCCTGCAAATGTTACGTCTGTGTGTAATGTACATGGATGAAATGCATGTCAGCTATGTTTGCACTTCTTTCAGTTTGGGTCTTTTTATTATATCACTAAATCCCAGCACTTGGAGTAGTCTGCCTCTACTGTCTTTATATTGAAAATGTCAATTACACATATGTCCTCTGCATTTCTTCTCCTGCCGATTTTAGAAGGAGCCACGTCTTTATTTCACATGTCTAACATCATCTCTTATAAATATCTCCGACTCATCAGGGATCAGACTGTAATCTCTATGGCTCATCACTTCAGAGGGGGTTGATGGCAGACTGACGACCCCTGGAGACAGGAGCAAGAGGCACAGCCACAGTGGGGAGAGGGAAAAAGAGGACACTGCTACTGCTGCTGCTGAGTGGAGCAACATAAGGAATGCCTGATGACAGTGTGTGCTCAGGCCAAGGCAGGCAAAGGTATTAGTTCTGTTGTAACAACAGGAGGATGGAGGGGGGGGGGGGTACTGATTGGAGAGATGGATAGGAAAGTCAGGATAGAGTAAGAGATGAAGAGTAAGATAGGCAGAAGGACAGCGAGTGACAGTTGAGGTGAGCTTTAGATAGACAGACTCATACATACAGTCATAGAACCTGAGTGGAAGTGATATGCGAATAAGGGAGACGTGGCCCAGGGAAGTGACCCCATTGAGCTCTAGCATATGATCTCTTGTACTTAACAGTCCTCTCAAAGTCAGAGCTGGGCAACATGGCAGTATGTGAGACAAGTCAATAAAGCCTCTGAATACTGAGTGCTGGATTTTGAAATTCCTCCATGCTTGAAGTAACAGGGTTGTTGTGAAACTTGTGCTAACAGGATAAAACGCTATGTCAAGTTCAGTACAATATTTTTATATTACCAGTATTTATTTATACCGCAGGAGACTGTACTGTATAAGGCAGTCTATTTTAGTCTTATTTAATGGACAGTAACTTTGTTTTTATTTACTGTAACAACGGTACTTCTTTGTTTGACACTTGTTTATGCTATTTGTACACTCATCTATCTCTGCTCTTGTCTTTGCTGCTGCAAACTGCAATTTCCCCCACTGTGGGACAAATAAAGGTTTTCTTATCTTAAGGGCAGCGAGTCTATTCCACCAATGTCAGCCTTGAGAGGAATGTGAGGAAGAAGTACCAAAAACATTCAACTTATGGATCCAGAGGTGAAATGCAAGTACTGTTTTCATCACGTCAATTAAAGTTTACATTAAAATTGCATATATATAATATTATGTTAAACTTTCTAGCACTTAAAAGGATGGATTTAATTAAACAATGGTGGAAAGTAAGCAAATACATTTCCTCGTCTAATATGCTTAGCTTTACTTGAGTATTTTCTGTTACTAGTATTGTACTCTACTACGATTATGAACTGTTATGGTGACTTTGCAGCGTGGCCTGTATTAATTAATTAATTTGCTGCACATTGACAAACTACAACATTTAAATACTTAAGTGCCATGTTAAATGCAGGACTATTCTTTGTGGTGGAGGTTTTTTTAAATTGAGGTATTTCGGCTTTAATTTAAGTAAGGGATATGATGAATGCTTCTTCCACCAGTTAAAATTTAATTAAAAATAAAATGTTCGCTGCAATTCAAAGGCTCTCCGAAAGGAGCGCTGTAGCCAAACCTTCTTACATAGAAGAAGAAAAGCGAAAAGTCATGGCGGCTGACAGTTTGTAATGAGCCAACGAAAACAGCAAAGGTTCTTGCAAGTTGGACTATCACCGGTTAAACCAGGCTCGGGGATAAATACGCAAACGTCAAAATGCTGATAACTTTGAAAACCTTACAGCAGCAGACGTTCAAAATCGACATCGATGAAGAGGAGACGGTGAGAGTTGAAACCATACATTTATGAAGGGGGTGGAGTGGGAGTTGGGTATGTCCTGAAACCGTGTTATTTGGTTTTTGACCACTTCATGTTAGACGAACGGGTCTGCGGAAATACGATAGATAACGTTATATTTTAGATGGACCAACTGTTCGGATTAACATGGCGTGTGTTTGACGTGTGACTTAAGATTACAAGCATAACGTTTGTGTAGTAAATACTGGTCAGGAAAGTAGTTTGAAGTGTCAGTATTTAGCCGCAGCCCACTTATAGTTCCAGATGGGGGGGGGGGTAGCGTTAACGTTGACTAGCGTTGTGTTTGTAGGTAAACTAGTAATGTTAAGTTGTGATTAACACAGTTTATTTCTGTAAAATAAATTGAAATTAGCGCCATGCTGGTGACAGCAGCAGTTAATGAACGTTGTCTAATGTAGTTATAGCGTTTAAGGTAACGTTTGTGTTAATTAAGCTAGTTAGTTTAAGTTAACGTTAACTTACGTCACGTTATCGTAAAAACCAACGCTAACGTTAAACGTTGTGTTGGGTGACAAATTAAAACTAACTTTGGATGACCAAGGCCTGAACGCTATTGTAATGCAGTTGAATTTGCATTTTGCATCTTTAACAGTTAACTCTCACTTTAGAAATGCTGCTTTATACCTTGTGTTACGTTAGCTAAGTATACAGCCACCATACTTTACGTTAAGATCAATTTAAGCACACATGAAAGCTAAATTTTATGAATTTTGGCTTAACGTTAGGTATAAAACGTTACGCCGTCTGTCTGTATTTTGTATTCAGTGTTCAACATGGTTCTCCAGTTTAATGATGTTGGTAGGAGTAACTGCACACTTTGGACTTTATTTTTGAACTATGCTATAGTTGGTGTTGGGCGAAATGCTGTCGGAAAGGATAAAGAAAAGTGTGTGTGTGTGTGTGTGTGTGTGTGTGTGTGTTCACAGGTGAAGACATTAAAAGAGAAGATTGAACAGGAGAAAGGAAAGGACCATTTTTCAGTTTCTGAGCTGAAACTGATATATGCTGGTATGTTACAGGCTTCTTGTAGCCTCACATTTCTTGATAATGGTTTCTCTTCTCCTTATCCAGTCAAAATCTAGACTGCCTTGATTTTCATATTAATGGTTGATTAAAGGTAGACTAAATGTCACGTTTAGAAATTCTTGCAAAATAGCTGATGCAAGCAATACATTGGTGATTCTGATAGTGACAGGGAGGTCTTTTGGCAACTGACACAAGACTCGGGTCAGGAAGCTTCTTGTTTATCCAATGTTTTCATTGTTGAGATGGACTTTAATTCTCACTTTTTAGTGTGTTCTCTTGGATAGGCCTATCTATGACCTTGATCAGTGGATACCATCATGCCTTGGTCTGTCCTCATTCATATTGGCATCCACATTTATCTTTTCTCTATGTTGTATTCTGTCAGGGAGCCTTATATTGTCATTAAAGCTACCATGGATCCAAGTAGGTAGCTCGTCACCTAGCTTCCAAGCTAGACAGTTCTCTTGAAGCCGAAAGTGGGCCTACATTAAGACTATTAAAATATTTAAAATGTTTGACAGCGGAGTAGTTCTGCATTAAGAAGAAATTTTCTTCCCATTAATTGTTTATATTTATAATATAAGGGCTGAACGATTTGGGGATATCTGCCAGATATTGCGATTATGATTCAATTTCAAATTTTTTTGAATTGAAGTTTTGCTAAAGTTCAATATTCACTGCCAGTCTATTTTTGACAGAAGCCGCATCAAGCAGCACAGAGCAGATAAACCAGACAGGAAGTCATACACAGAACGGCATAGAGAATCTGGTCAATTTTCAAAATAAAACACCCATTGCAGACTCCCAATCGTACATCAATAATAAACACAGTTAAAACAGACCAAAAAAGACACAATTTAACGTAGCCTACTTAACCATGGTAGAAGCACCAAAATTAAGGACAACTGAACAAATAAGCAAAATCTGAATAACTCTGCAAAATCAGACGGACAAAACGCTTTTATTCTGAAATGCTCCATGTGGATATGTAGCCCGCGCGGAGCGGAAGGGGCTCACAGAGAGCTGTTATCTCTACTTGAAGCATACAAAATGACAAATTAACAACTAAAGGTGTGGGTTAAACGCTCCGCTGCTGAAACACTTAAGTGTGAGTTGACACCGGACAAAACCGCGGCACAACCGCTGCCTGTGTCGGTTCAGCTAGCGCCATTATCCCACACGTTTTCCTCTAGTTTGTTGTTGTAAAATGTACAAGCCCTGTGCATGAATTTGCAACTTCATGACTGTTTAAAACGGGTCAGATGCGCTGTATAATAATTAACCTACATTTAATCGCGTCTTCACAATTAGCTAATCGTATTCTATCGAAAACGATTAACCGTTCAGCCTTGTGTGTGTGTTGGTGTGTATATGTATATATGTGTATACACATAAATGGAGACGAAAGAGTGAGTCTTAAACCACTGTGGCAATAAAATTTAAAGTGGTTCATATCATCTTGTTCAACAACAATGTGGTACACCTCCAGAGTACTGCAGAAATCAAGGAAAAATGACTTGATCCGCTCACATCTATTGCTGCTGCACACTGAAAAATTAAGCTGCTTTTTTAGTTCCTCTGTGGTTGACTTCTGATTACCTTTCTTTTACCGCTGTGCAGTAGTGTTTTAATGGAGCACAGTGTGGCATTTCTGACAGCTGGCATACCCTGAGCAATCTAACAAATAATCAAAAATAGGTCAGGCTTCATAATGGCCCATATCAATCAATCAAATACTGCCTGGACTCTCCTTAATCCCCATACTGCAGATTGGCTCCAAATATCTCAATTTATAACTTATTGTTATTGGAAATTAAATTTTCATAGGGTTGTTCTGCTCTCATGTTTGCAAACAAAACTGATGTAAACAAGCCTTAAACAGGATTGGGAAAACATAGTTATTAGATTTAGCTTTTGTTGTCTGTTGACTTAATTTGTGAGTCATAGTATGGGACTATTCTTTAGTTTACAGTTGGATTAAGGACTGAGCCTTTAAAATGCACTGGATTTGGTCTACTCATGGAATGAGAGGCCTAAATTAATTTATTTTGTCCCTGTCATTTTAGATACTCAGTGATATTGTACAGATATAAAATTGTAGTGCTGCAGAGCGGGTTAATTGTTACTGAAGGCCTATATACTTTAATGCTTAGCAGCCAAAGCAGACTGCACTAAAGCTACAGCAGGGCTGGTTTTCTCAAATTGTTTTAATCTCCTGTTGCCTGTAGCAAAAAACCTGCCAAAGAAGAACACACCTGTCTGTCAGACAAATGAAAATGTGTTTCATGACATAGCTACCTTCATGTATTTAATCGAGCTTTGCAGTCATCTTTCTTTCAAAAGAGAGATTTTTGTCAGTCCCAATTACAGCAGTGTACTTTTCGTTTTGAAACCATCAACAAAACATGGCGAACTCCTAGACATTTTTAAAGGCACTGTATATGTATAAGCATATTGTAGCATTTTTGACACTGGGGTTTTGTGTGACCTACTTAAAGTGACTTCTCAAACACACATAACACGAAAAAAAATCAGTGCTTTACACTATAGCAAGAAGAACCAGATGCAGTGACCAAAGTCGGTTATTCAGCTCAACAACCTTCCTATTCAATGATAAAATATATTGCCGTGTATTGTTACTTCACTGCATGTTGTTGCAGAGTTTGTGTTGTGTAAAGCCAGTATAATTATGACAACTCTCTCTGTTTCTTCCCAGGTAAAATCCTCAGCGATGACACAGCCATCAAGGAATATAAAATCAATGAGAAGAACTTTGTGGTCGTCATGGTGACAAAGGTTTGGGAATTACAAATAGTTTTAATAAATGGCAGGTTTTGTTTGTTGAACTGATTTTACACTGGAATGTTGTATGAGCTGACACCGAACTATGAATTTGTAATTTGAATTTGTAATTTGTTTTCACATATGTCTGTATGGTGGAGCTGTTGCACAGTAGGGCTGCACCTAACGATTATTTTCATTATCAATAAGTCTGTAAATCATTTCCTCGATTAATTAAGTAGTTGTTCGGTCTATAAAATGTCAGAAAATGCTGAAAAACTTTCAGTGTTTCCCACAGCCCAAGGTGAGAATCTCAAATGTCATGTTTAGTCCACAACCCAAAGAGATTAAGTTTACTGTCATAGAAGAGTAAAGAAACCAGAAAATATTCACATTTGGGAAGCTAATATCAGAGAAGTTGGACATTGTTTTCTTAGAAAGGGGATTAATCAATTATCAAAATAGTTGGCAATTAATTTAATAGTTGATGACTAATCGATTAATCGTTGCAGCTCTGCTGAACAGGCTCTTTTTGTGTACTAGAACAAGAAGCTCACAGTGTGGTCACTGCTGACTTAGAGTGGGGTCAGCGGTGTTAATGCCTGGCTCTACTACTACTACTTCTATATATTCCAGTACATTTGCAGAGAAGATGAGATGACTATAACATTATCTTTAGCGATTGTCTTGTTCCTAGCTGCGCTAATTTGTGCACAGTTTTACACCAATCCATTTTCCTAAAAAAATATACGAAAGTGTGTTACGTGCATGTTTTTTGAACTTCTAACATGACATATTCCTGTATGTAATACACAAAGAGAGAAGCTGTTTTAATCCTCAAAACTTGTTGCTGTATGTTCTGTAAAATACAGTCATTTAATAATCTAATTAATAAATGTAGCCATGGTATTTCATCGGGAAAAAAAGAAAAATGTTAGATGGGATTCTGTGTCTGTTGATGCACATTATTAAAATATTCATATTTTGGGGCAAAAAATATGATGGGCAACCGTAAACAGGATCAAACTTAATTTTCCAGTCAGAATAAATGAAAGAAAGCTCCAGCTAGTTATATCATAGAAGTTCAAGTCTGTGATGACTTTTATTTGTATAATTTAACATAGCCAATACATTGCTTAAGTGAATTTTACACCAAAGAAAAATGCAAAGATTGCCAAAAATTTATAATTTCATGACAACTTATTAGCAAATTACCTATGGTGACTATAAAGTGATAGAATGTAAAATATTTCTATATATTAAAATTGTCTTGCAGACAAAAACAGCCTCGGCTGCCCCTCAACCTTCACCTACCACTTCAGCTCCCAGCACTACAGCTCCTGCAGCACCTTCTGCCTCGGCGTCCAGTTCGGAAAACACAACAGATCATGCCCCTACAGATGACAAACCAGAGGAGAGACGGTCTTCTTCTGTTGAAATAGCTTCCACCCCTGTTGGGTAAAGATGGGTAGATGTTTGTCTTCCAACTATCTTATCTGGTTTCAGTGCACCTTGCTTTGAGAAGTGCTGTGCAGATCACGCCTCACCCCAGGTCTGCTTTTTCTTGCAGAAGCTCTGAGGCGTCAACAAACACAAGCCTAATTGATGAGGCAGTTTCAACTCTAGGTAAGGCTGCAGATATAAACACAATGTGTCAGTTTTTTTTTTTTTTAAGGTATTTGTGGGATATTTACTTTTTGCCACAATGCCTTTAAGCCACATCTTGTATGCGGTAGATCTGTGGGCCCGTGTGTGAATCGAGCTTGTTGGTTCATTTTGACTGACCCTGTTTCTTGATATCCATAGCATGCTGACATTGATGTATCTTAATCAATAAGCAGCCGGATACTGCGGCTCTGCCAAAACATAATCCCACAGTTCCCTACGGCCACATGCTCTGAGCTTTGCAAATATTGCTTTGCTCAGAGCACATCCTGTAGGTCTTAATTATTATGACTCATGTCATTGAATTTTCAGCTTTTGAGGCAGCTTGTTTATTTTTATGGGACACGGTAGATAAATTGATCTTTATGCATCTTAACATCTTGATGATCAGTTTTCTTCCATTTAAAATGCATGTTAATATCTATCTTTCTGGTGGCCTTGACAGTTTGATACCCACGTTTTAAAGTAAATGACTAATGCGCATTTTTATGTTCAATAGTAAAACAACACTAACATTAACAATTTAAAGCAATCAGGTTTAAGTTCTTAACTTTCTGAAACGGCTTCAAATGTGGCATAACATAGTGCTATACTTGAACAAATATTTACCCACTATGAAGCTCTTCAGTCGCACTACTGAAAGTGCTGTCTCCGTGTTTGTGTTTTCCTTCAGTGACAGGCCCATCATATGACGCCATGGTGAACGAGATGATGCTCATGGGATATGAGAGGGAGCAGGTGGTAGCAGCTCTGCGAGCAAGCTTCAACAACCCAGATAGAGCTGTGGAGTACCTGCTCACAGTAAGAACAGTCAGTTGTCTTAGCAAAACACATTATACCTCTAGGAGATTTTGAGCAGTCACAGAGCTTAGCATCTCTGCTCGGGTCAGGATTTCAACCACTGTGATTTCGGGGCGGGTTTGTAACAGATACATGGTGTCATCAAAGACATGGTGCACTAATTTTTGTCTGTTCAGGCTTCTCATGTTGTCTGTTCCTCTTCGACATTTTGACTGCTAAAGTTTCTGCCTCCTGACGAAGCTTGCTACAGCATATTTGGCAACGAGACCGTGGATAGGACCCTATGAAATCCGTTTTCAATTATCCCAAATTCTGTGTTTTCTGTTTTTAAGAATTTTTATTTGAGCACATTTTGTCATCAGAATGAGTGTGTAATCATGTGGTGGATGAATAAACTGTCAAAAATTCAATAAGAAAATAGTAGAAATTGAATCCATTTCAATATATGCATATAGAAATATTGTATGTGCAATTGTATTTATGTAGACATAAAATAAATGTAGGCCTATTGCAACAGTAGGATATTAAAATACTATAAAACGATTTAATAGGGGGCAATTCACAATGAATGCATTGTTAACAATACATGTAATGTGAATTGTCACCTATCAAACAGGTTATTACTTGACAGTCTCCATATGCTGCTGAACACGCGGTGCTTTTCTCACGTGGGCTTTTGAAACAAAAAAACAACGGTAGGACAAACACTGGACTGTGTTAATATGAAGGAAGTTCTAGTTTCCTGACTAGACATTCGTGACATGGTTATACAAATCTTGCACCCATAACTACATCTCCAAAATTCCCTGAATAATCATAATCCTAAAATGTGTACATTACATGATGTAACTCGAAACTTTAAACTGAAGTGGCCTTCAAGTAATCCTGAGTCTCACAAGCCAAGTGTTGATACCCTAGTTTGTTTAGTATATGTGATTTTTTTTAATTGTTATATTTAATAACTTTTCTTTCAGGGTATTCCAGGCAGAGGAGATCAGGGTCATGCAACAGGGCCGGAAGTGGCGGCGCCTCCAGTGAGTGGAGTTCCTGCTGCACCCACTAGCAGTATTAGCATTCCCGCCAACACTAGCTCTTCACCAAGTGCTGGGGGAGGTAAGTGGCTCAATACTATTCTTCATATTCCAGCAGCCTCCATTAGCAAGTGTTTATTTGCTTTCTTTGTCTCTGTCTTCTGCTGAAACTTTAATACTCACACATTTATCCTTTCAGGCAACCCCTTGAGTTTCCTGAGAAATCAGCCCCAGTTCCAGGTGATGCGACAACTGATCCAGCAGAACGCTGCCCTGCTTCCTGCCTTGTTGCAGGAGATCGGCAGGGAAAACCCCGAGCTGCTGCAGGTGAAGTACTGAAAGAGCTTTATGTATTTTAAGTGACAACATTGTTGCTGTAGGTGTGGATGTGTTGGGGGCTCTTGACACAGTTCTGATTTAATGAGTTTATGGTTAAGGAGTGGGTTCACAATTCACTTAAAGGGGCACTTAGCTGATTTTACACACAAAGTTCAGTTTACACATCATAAGGAGTATTATTCTAGCCTTTGAAGCCTACACTTTGTCCTTTCTGGCTCTGGGGGGAGTTTGAAAAAATATCTTAGCTTGGAGTTGAGACTTAAAAGTTTTAACAAGGCTGCGTTAGAAACTGGAGGTGTAGAGATTGAAAGACAGTGGGGATTTAATAGGCATGGCGTCTAATGGAAGTTACAATTGAGACGCTATTGGATTGCGGGATTATGGGAATTGTAGGATCCAGTGTTTTGGAGTTTGGCCTGTACTAGAGAATAAAAGTTGGATTTTTTACAGTTCCCTTTTAAAACTGTCCTTTTTTAGTCCCCTAAATTTATTGGAGAAAAAATAAAAACGAATCTAAAAGGGATTTGTTTGTTTTTTGTTGTTGTTTGTTTTTTTTATTGTGGTTTTGCTCCGCTTCAGCGTTATATGCATCAAGGAACAGTTTCTTTGCCTCCATAGTCACGCCTCAACTGTTCATTTACCTCTGCAGGAGATTAGCAGCCACCAAGAGCAGTTCATCCAGATGCTGAATGAACCCAATCCAGAGGCAGTGCCAGCAGGGGGAGCCGGAGGGGTGGCAGGTGAAGCACCCGGAGGGAGTCACATGAGCTACATCCAGGTCACGCCACAGGAGAAAGAGGCTATTGAGAGGGTGAGAGTGAGCGCAGCACTGTCACTTACTTTTCCTACAGTCTAAAGTCCAGTACAGCGTTGGTGCTAAAATATGATATTGCCAAAATCCTCACTTTAATTTTTGTCTTTTGAATAGTAGAGACTGTTAAACAAGAAACACAAAGACCCCCTTTACACCGGGTATTAAAATGTGTCTCGTATCCGGATTGTGTCTAGATATGATTTTAACCTGATTACATTTAGCTTAAACAACCAAACATCATATCCTCCTCTCATTTGCGCAGTTCCAAAAAATGCTCTATAACTATAGACTGCATAATAACTTTCTGAACCGTCTCTTCCTACATGGATTATATACCAATGGTTTCCTCTCTCTCTTCAGCGGAGCGTCGACGTAATAGCTCAGCTGGAAGAGAAAGTTCCGCCTGCCAACGTTTCCTTGTGCTACCTCTCTTCATACTGTGTACTCCTTTCGTTTATTATCCGATTCTTATCAAATCTCTGTTCCAATTCCTATATTCTCAGCTCTAATCAGTAAACTGTCAGCTGTGACAGGAAGGTTTCTTTTCCCTTCATTTAAAATATTATGGAAGGCCAAGTCCATGGACAAGCAGATATCAGTAATGCATTTTACATACCTAAACAGAGGAGACTCACCACAAACCTTGTCACCGCTCGGTGGCATTCATCCACTTTCTCCTTGCTCAACTTCCCCTTCATGGCTAAAGCGAAAGGAGTTTCTGTGCTAGAGGGGTGTTTATGGGGACTCGTATGTAAGAAAAATACATATTGGAATCTCTTTGTAGACATTCATTTACTTTCAGTATAAAAGGTGAATGTCAGTTCACCTGGGTTTTGTGTCTGTGCGTGAGACGTTGCTACTGTTAGCGTTAGCTGTGAGCTTGTTATTGTAGCTTGGAGACTGCAACACATTGAACATGGTGCCTTCCTTCAGATTCACACCATGTTGAAGTAAATGCTTCGTCATATTGGAGGTGCTTCTTCCCTTACACAAAATATCCTTACTGCAGGTGTTGCATTTTGCTGTGTCACTGTGTTGTTAATGAAGCTAAGCCAAAGTTTTGGCTGTTTCTTGCAGTCCACCATGGTCCAGGAATGAAAGCAGAAGTACTCTCTTCTTGCATGCTTCGTTGACCTACTGCGTAAAAAATGATGTGATGTTAGGTCCTGGCAATTTTTATGGAATGTAAAATTCTCACTGCAGTTCAGTCGGGAGCATAACTGAAATATGCAAAAAGTTACAAACTGATAAGCAGAATCGAATGCAACTGTCTTAACGAATCCAACTTGGAACCGGTGCTTGATATCCAGTCCTACTCTACAGTCTGTGACTTTACATTCACAAACAAATGTGTTCAGTTCCCGGTTCATCAAAAACATGCGCACACGGAAGATTCTGACTGGCACGTACAGTGGATATAAAAAAATCTACACACCCCTGTTAAAATGCCAGGTTCTTGTGATGTAAAAAAATGAGACAAAGATAAATCATGTTAGAAATTTTTCCACCTTCAATGTGAACAATTCAATTGAAAAACAAACTGAAATCTCTGGGGGGGGGAATGAAACTTAAAAACCTTACAATAACCTGGTTGCATAAGTGTGCACACCTTCTCATAACTGGGTATGTGGCTGTGTTCAGAATTAACCAATCACATTCAAACTCATGTTAACTAGAAGTCATTACACACCTGCCATTTAATGTGACTGATTATTCACAAAGAAAGTTCAGCTGTTCTAGTAGGATTTTCCTGACATTATGTGCATGTGGGAAAAAGGTTGAACTTTTTGGCGCAAAAACAACACTGCACATCACCCAAAGAACTCCATACCCACAGTGAAGCATGGTGGAGGCAGCATCCTGCTTTGGGGCTGTTTTTCATCAGCTGGAACCGGGGCCTTAGTCAGGGTGGAAGGAATTATGAACAGTTCCAAATACCAGGCGATTTTGGCACAAAACCTTCACGCGTCTGCTGAAAGCTATGAAGATGAAGAGGAAGTTCACCTTTCAGCACGACAACGACCCAAAGCACACATCCAAATCCACAAAAGCATGGAAGAAGGTTAACGTTTTAGAATGGCCCAGCCAGAGCCCAGACCTAAATCCAATTGAACATCTGTGAGGTGATATGAAGAGGGCTGTGCACAGGCGATGTCCTTCTTTTGCAAAGAAGAGTGGGCAAATATTGCCATGTCAAGATGTGCCATGCTAGTAGACTACTACCCAAATACCGAGTGCTGTAATAAAATCAAAATTTGCTTCAACAAAGTATTAGTTTAAGGGTGTGCACACTTATGCAACCAAGTTATTGTAAGATTTTTATTTTTCATTTTTCCCCCTCGAAGCGGTTTGTTTTTCAATTGAATTGTTCACATTATAGGTCACATTAAAGGTGGAAAAAAGCTCTGACATGATTTATCTGTCATTATTTTTACATCACAAGAGCCTGGAATGTGTCACTATGCGTCCCTTTAGCAGTTCACAGTCCATCCTCAATGCGTCTTGGGTGCATTTACACTTGTACTTTCACATGGTCATGCACTATCAATTTATTATTAACACTATTAATATGATCACCCTAAATAAATTTTAACACCAGATGTAAAGAAGGCCAAATTGTCATTTGCTTATTAAAGGATTGTTTAGCTAATTTGCCACTCTTCTCTCCTCTCTCTAATTCCAGCTAAAGGCTTTAGGATTTCCAGAGGGGCTTGTTATACAAGCCTACTTTGCTTGTGAGAAGAACGAGAACTTGGCCGCCAACTTCCTTTTACAACAGAACTTTGACGATGATTAAAAGAGCCATGTTCATTTTGACTTTTCTTATTTCTTCCTCTACTTTTTGATTGCTGATATTGAATATGTGTACAACAAGCCCTTTAAATTTAAAAGAAAAGTTTTATTCACTACTTCCACATTCACCTTTCTTAATAACACTGGATCATTATCAGCTAGCATACAAGGACATGCTGTTGTTTGTAATCAGTTTGAAATGGAGAAGCAATTAAAGTACAATAACTTTGCATTAGAAATCACCTGTGTGCTTTTTATTTTTTAATAAGACCAATATGATTTTTTTTTTTTAAAGGAAAATCCAAATGGCTTGCAACAGGAGTATATGTCATATAAGTGAATTTAGTTCAGGGTCGATCTGAAAGGTTATGGAAGTATTCATGCATTGTTCTGTTTTTTTAAAGTTCACAAGTAATGGAGATTTTAAAATTAAAGTTGTGCATAACAAACGAGCACTATGTATGGCACTGGTTCTTTTTCTATTTACATCCCTCTTCTGTGTGTAAATCAACAGGAGCTGTGTAAAGATGTCTGAACTGCAATGCATATGTGAAGGCATTTTAACATGTATATATTTTACACATGTAGTAGGGTTTAGCTGGAAAGACATTTTTACAGAAAAACTAAGTTTTCAAAATAAATGAAAGTTGTGCATATTCTGCTGTGCTTTGCATTGAGTGTTGCTCCAGAAATCAGAATGTAGGCAGAAGTACTTTAGAGTTACAACACAAAATACACTTAGTAAATTATGTGTGCAGTCCCCTCATTACATTATCAATTGATCCTGGTCCTAATTTATTGGCAAGTTTTTGCCAATAGTGAATTTAGTGTTATGTTGCTCTTTAAAGACTTTTAAGAATAATTTATTTAATAATCCTCCTCATATTTTACAGGTCACCTCAGGCTTGTTAATACACTGCAAAATGTAGAAATGTTCAGTTGAACAACGAAGCTGTGAGGGTGCTTAAACTGAATAAACCTATAGGGGGCAACACAGACCACAACATGTTTTTAAAAGTCAATGCCAAGCTCTTTTTGCCAGCCTGAGTACTTCTAAACCATGAAATGAGTGAATATCAGAGTTGTTGTTTTTTTTACTGTGTAGGAAGTAAATGTTGCAACATATAAACTTTCTTTGTATTAACCAGTTCAAGTACATTAGCACAAATGTTTTAACTCCATAAGCAGGAGACTCAGTTGAAATACATTTTTTAAAACCTCATGGCCATTTTATGAATACAAATGTTTCACTTTAAACATAGGCAAATATGGGCTCTTATGTTTAAACCATTTGTTACTATTAACAGTAACTAATTATCAATTTTCTTTAATTCAAAGTCATGTTTTGTGGGGTGTTTTGATGTTGCCATACTGTGCAGTAGAATTGTTTGAACATGCATTGTCTTTTCAGTGTCAGTCAAAATCAGTCACCTGTTGAGTGGACACTAAGGATACAGCTGGATTTCATGAATGCAATTTTACTTTTATAATATTGGCATGTAACTTTTTTTTATAAAATAAGGCCTGTAGCTGGATACATTACATAAACACCACATACAATGAGGCATAATGACAGAAACATATTAAGACAATATCTCACTGTAGCATATTTGTGGGTTTTATTCATTCTGTGCACCTGAGAGCTCCGGCGCAGCGGCAGTCAGATTTGGTGTCACCCATGAATATCAGCCAGTAACTCGGTTGTCCTCCTCATTCTTCCCACTGACAGGTGGAAAGAGAACCCCGTGCATACAGGACATTGTGGGAGTGAACTTTTTTGGAAATCATTTTTAACTGCAACATTGTGTTGGTTTGCCCGCGGCGATCTCAGTATTATCAGGGGCATATTGTGTGTGAGCTGACTGTGAACTATTGCTGCCGTTTAAATGTGCTTCTCCATTACATTGCCAGGGAAATCTACAATCTACCTGAACTGCTGATGTTCCAGGAAGCTCTGCTTAACACGCATGTAATTTCTTTTTACGGCTACAGTTTACTTCATGGTGTCAACATATTTTTGTTTTTCCAATGACATAATGATAATTATGTACATATGGTAGAAGAGTATAAAGGTCATTATAGTTTTCTTATTTCAAATACATTTTATTTTATTATGCTGTAAAATACAAAACAATAACAAAGCATTTTTATTCACAAATGTACAAAATTCAAGATTATATTACATATTTTTGGCTATAAACAAAACATCTTTGTTCAGAGTTCACGCATTCAATACAAAAATATGAATGTCTCATATAAATTATTGCACTTTGCAACTGCAGTGCATTGAAGATTGCCATCACCATTTATAAGTGAAGTGTTCACCTGATTTAAGTCAGATTGTGGAAGAGAGGTTTCTAAGAAACACACAAACAACCATATGGCACTTTTAATAGTTTTCACCCTTTTTATATTTTCCTTAATCTTTGGTACCTTTTCTTTTTTTTCTTCTTTTTTAAAAACCTTCAGTCACTGAGCACCATTCTGTATAAATTAATATTGTACCTGAAATGAATGGCATTGCAGGTGAAATGTGTATATAAATATAGATGTTTATTAATACAGTATTTTGAACAGTGTGTTGTTGTTAACAGAGCCTATATTGGCATGTTGCTGGTAGAAGGCCTCTGGAGTTGTTTGTCTGTTGCTCCTGGTTTCCCTGACAAAATGTACATTTCCAGTTAAAAGCTGTTGGCACCTGGTCCTCCAAGTTTTGTCGGTTAAATAAGACAAATTCCAGTTTGGTCCCTTTCATAAAAGTTTACAACCCTGACCGAGAGGTCTCGTCGAGTCGCCTGCACAATGTGCAAAGACGAGATCAGTCTTCAGGGTAATGCTCTTTTTGCCGTGAAGGCCACAGCTTGTCTGGTTGCTTGACAACGGCCTGAAGGCAAGTTATGGTTGTTAAAAAGTGTAGGTCACAAGTTTGTTCTGGGTTCTACTAACGTTCTTTTGTGTTCTGGAGCCTTCATGCCAAGTCTCACAAGTGTCTCTTCATATGGAGAGCAAGGTGGTCTGACCTTGAGAAGGCCCTGTCACATTTCTGACACTGGAATGGCCGGTGGCCTGTGTGTTTCCTGTAGTGGCGTGTGAGCTCGTCCGAACGTGCAAACTTCCAACCACAGCCCTCCCAGTCGCAGTGGTAAGGCTTCTCCCCTTTGATGGAAACACAATACACACGGAGCAGTTAGTGCTGGCCCTGAGGTTAAACTGGCCCAACCTCCCCCACCTTGAGGAGAAAAGAAGTCCGTCCTGTCCTGCAGCTAGTGTATAAAGGCCAAGCTAATCAGCCTGGGGTTTGTATTTGAGCAGGGATACGTATCAACCTGTTTTACCGCACCTGCCAAACGACTCCCCTCCCCCATCCTGTCTAACCCCCTTTCATGACTCAATAATTCAATGTGTCGGTACATAATGTGTGACAGACGTGGTTGTTTGGGATAGGAATTAGCTCTGAACAATGAAAACAATATGAAACAACTGTGTTAAACAGTGTTCCAAACAAAAAACACAAAAATACGCTTCTTCTGCATGTGACATCATTTAATTTAAACCAGATATAAATGGCACAACAAAAAAAAAAAAAACAATGGCTGACAAAAACATATAACATACAGTTACATACCTGTGTGCGTGCGGTGATGTGCTTTGAGGTGGGAGCTCTTTGTGTATGTTTTCCCACAGCCAACATAGTCACACGTGTGTGTGGCGACTCTCTTCCTCGGCCAGGAGCGCCTACCACGTTTAGGCTTTGGTTCCTCCGGCAAGCAGTCACCACTGGAGATCATGAGGGCCTCTGTGGGGTCAAAAGATAAAAATCATCATCACGTGTATAGTGAAATAATTCTGTGTATAATTTTATCAGATATAACACAGTGTAACGAGGTCACAGGTTCTCATACTTGGCTTGCATGATGGCAGCTCATATTGTATTTTGGAGCTCTGCTAAAGAGAGCGCTTAATCACTTCAGACACATAGGTCGATATACAGTGGAAGCTGCAGAATGTCTCTAATCATTCAGAAATATGTGTTTTTCGGTCATCAGCCCTAAGATGCGATAGAAAACATCAGTCTTCTTAAACTTAAAAGGCTTTTAAAAAGCAAAACAGCATTTTTTAAAAAAGAACTCAAAGGTTTTAGTGTAAAATGTTACCGCAATGAGGCACAACAATAAACACTGATCCTATGAAAACAACAAAATAACTACATTTTGTTTAAAATCTGGCAATGTCTTATATCCATTTTGGCTGGATCTTTATGAGTAAAAGAGGGTTTGTTGTCCAATGCCATGGGATGTCGGTTTCAGTCCTTTTGAAGTGCTGGTTTTTGGGGTATAATTAAAGCCCTTAAGGTTGTATAAAATGTATTTAAATACACTCTGTAGACTTTGACTTTGTATTCCTGTTGTCTAATCTCTTCTGTCTTAGTTTTACGTGCATGTATGCATTTCCTTTGACTAATGGGCAAAATCTAAATAAAAAGACTTAACACTTAGGTTACAGCAATCAGTTGCCACAGAAAGAGATTACAAGAAACTCTTAACAATGAGAAATAGAAATGTGCTCTAACCTTGGTACTGCATGGAGGATGGCTGAGGGTAAGAGGTGTAGCCCTGCGGGGAGCTATGGTGGTATCCCTGGGGAGGTAGAGTGATCTGAGAGTGAGGGTGCCCCAGAATCTGGTGCTCCCGGCTCAGAGGATGGTCTGGGGAGAGGGAGGAGGATGAGGACAACCTGTTGCCAGTCATGGATCTCCCTCCGCCAGGGAAGCCATGAAGATCTAAGTTGCAGGGGCGCTGCTGCTGGCTCCCTCGGCCCTGCGAGTTTACCCCGGCCAGGTGTAGGTCTATGGGCTGCGAGATGGTGCAGTTACTGGGGTTCTCCTGCTTAATCCGGTGGCATGTAAAGGGCGGTGAGGCACGTGTAGGAGTTGGGTCTGACGCCGCATTAACGCAGGCCTTGCTTACACTCACGCCTTGGCTGTATTCTCCCATGTCCATTGTTGTCTTGACCACGAACTTGCCGTGGAGGTTGGTGGCATGGAGGTATGCCGGGTCCAGCTCGGGTCTCATGAGCTCTGCCACAAAGCCTCCAGAGGGCGAGACATCACTGATATCTGGGATAGTATAGAGCAGCTCACTGGCGGTGCCCTGAGGGGAGGGGAGAGGGTAAGATGAGGAGAAAGAGCCAGGGGAAGGGGACAGGCCCTGGGCAGAGCTGCACGCCATGGCCTCCTCCTCCTCCTGCTGTTGTTGCTGCTGTTGCTGCTGCTGCTGCTGCAGGATGGAGTTAGACAGAATAAAGTCGTAGTCCAAGTCCAAGTCGAGCTCTGTCTCTTTTTTGGACATGCTAGGGCTTGTCGTGCTGGTGGCAGTGGGATGGTCTGGGTCAGAGCAGCTGCTTCCGGTTGGCACACTGGGTCTCTTAAGATGGGACAGCTCCTCCTTCCATCTCTAAAGGAAAGTTACAGAGACATTAATGGCTGTACTCTGCTGCTTGTTTGTATCATGTTATAAGACTCAGACAGTAAACAGTAGCCAAGACACTTGAGTTTGTCCTGTCCTACTTATTAATTAGTGCCTGTTTTGAACAAATTTATATATATGTATATAGTATAAGTCAAAGCTTCAGGGAGGAAAGAACCTGTATCTGTAATGTAAAGTGATTATTATGACAGCTCAGCTCTAGAGCTCACTCTGGTGTAGCAAGTGGCACAGAGCGCTTCCTCGAATACAGATTATTCTCATTGGCAAAGAAACTGCACTGGAAAGCATAGGTAGGTAACACAAGCTTAGACTGCCATCAGAAGATTATTGCAATCAATGTGTAGCCAACTGAACGACCAATTATGAATTAATAATGATAATCATAATATAGGGCATCGGGATGTTTTCTGCAGTAGGCCTATCCCATGTGCGCTTCACTGACTCCCTACACGCTAAAAACCTACTGGAGAAGCCTATGTAAACTGGTGCACGCCCCAGTAGAGCGTGGTGTCAAGCCCTGGCGGTGCCCATAATAACACGGGAGAGTCGCGCTGGAAAACAACTAGCCTACACTGTAAATGAACGACACAGGCTACATGTCTCCCCCTGACAGATTCGTTGAATTGCCATTGCGCATGCAATAAGAAGTGACTACTCACTAAATTGGCACTTCCTATGGATTTACTCTTGACCGTGGGGCCGCTGGCAAAGGTGGATATGGATGGCAGAAGAGTCCCACCTAAAGCCATCTCGACGTCATTTGGAGGTTGCCTGAAATTAAACAGAAAATATGGTAAATCCTCGCGGAGCAGCGAGCGCAGTCTGTTATAGTCCATTAAAGTAGGCGTTCATCGGTCAAAGGTTGTTGTTAAAAGTTTCTCAAGGTCCACACCTCATCAATGAGAATCTGTGTGTGGAGTCCTTTCGGCTGCTCTCCGGTGTGACTGCAATGGGTTTGCAGGACTCTCCCCGGGTTTAAAGTTTCTGCTCCACGTCGCGCGTTATACCATATTCCAGGACATGCTGCCGCTGATAGGCGCGCCGGGCAGAAGCAGCCAGACAGGCTGATTTGTTAGCGCTAAAGCAATTTTGAACGGGAAGACAGAGAGGCGACGTGCGGGGGAATCCCTCGCGCCTGTTGCCATGCAGTACAACCGGCAGTCTGAGCTGAGGAACCCGCGTGAGAGGTATCCTTAAATCACTGGAGCAGGACACGCCTTCGTTGCCCCGCAACAAGCACGGAAAAACATTTAGCGCGAGGGAGGGAGCACGTGGGGGGGAGGCTGGGGCGAGCGGGGAGGAGAGAGAGAGAGAGAGAGAGAGAGAGAGAGAGAGAGGAAGAGAGAAGGTTTGTTTGTATTCATAGCAACGGTACCTATCCTTACTGCTGTTATCCCTGTGAAACGTGGTTGAAGAAGCGCGTTTTTTCAGACGCCACAGACCGCGGCCGAAATGGGAATAACAGTGAATATTAGGTTATTTTGTTATGTCTGGAGGGTCACCTGCAGGCATGGGCATCACATCATGGATGGCCAAAAGCTACACACACTGAGAGGCTACAGATTAGGAGGGCTATGAGTCTGTGTTTTTGCCACACTTATCAAATAATAACACTTTGTTGTTCACCTGTCATTGCTCCATTCGTTTCCAATTACAGGCTATGGCCTACGTGGGTTTATTGGCAAGTGATAGGCCTTATAGTGTAATGATTATACCCTAGAATTAGGTAATTGTGCAAAGTATTGTGGGTACACGTTGAGTTTATATTACATCATTGGATTGCAATAGGAGCCAACCCCCATGTATGCACTTGCAAAGCAACGTTTTATTATGATTATATCATAATAATATAATTTTTACTTTTACAGTTAGTGATATGCTTAATTTAGCGGGCAGCACAAGTAGGCTAATCTATTTTTCTACATTATAGCCTACATGTAAATACATACAAATTGCATCATGCAGACATATAACTTATGCATAGCCAAACTTGTCAAAAATAATTACCCTGAAACACTTATCTTGACACAAATGTCAGACTAATGTGATTTAAGGGAACTTACAGATAGCTGTAATCTGTATAACAATCCATGGTCCAGGCTTCTGTGTGTCTACATTTTATTGTTATGTTTCCTGAAACAGGTGTTGTTTACAACTTTTTTTTAAAGCAGGCACCCCTAACTAATCCCATCTTTATTAAACAACATTTATTGCAAATAAATAAACTCTTGCCCACAAGCAAAGAAAAGCCCTTTGAAAAAAAGTCTTAATTTAACACAACAGTTTAGATATGAAATTTGAGAATTGAAAAGAAAAAACCTTACCTGGGAACATTACAATTCTGAGAACTGTTCAGTGTTGAGTTTGAATTGAGTTCAGGCAGTGTTTGCTCAGAGCTAGCGAGCTACCACAAACCTCTCTGTCCAACATAATTAGACACATTGACTCAAGAGTTCAGTGCAAGAGCAAACAAAGCGCCTGCCGCTGATCCTGCTGCATCAGGATCTTGTCCGTTAGGCATGTCAACAAACATGCCATCCCTTCAACACGACACATTTACTGTCATTGTATGTTGGTGTCTTCATTCAAAGTTTTTAAAAGCATGAATGCACCTTGCTTTGGTTGTCAAACAAAAAACGGTGGGAAAGATATAGACTATAATGTCATGATAACTTTGCAAAGAGAAAGTGCATCCTGTTGAGAAACCCATGATTTATTGTTTGATATATTAACAGTAAGTCATTTAATCTAATGTGTCGCCACACTGTAATATGTATATTTTCTTACTTCTCCAATTGCGTGGTGAGACTTGATGGCTAACCCTACAATATTTGCTCTACTTGTTCTTGAAGACCTGCTTCCTACAGCAGGTAGGAGCACAATGGAAGCCATGACATTATAGCCATATTCTTTATGGTGGGAGATAATGGTTTTGTAAACGATCCTGAAAACAAAGGCTTGACTTTGACAACTTTGGTGCTTTGCATTGCAATAACAGAGAAAGGAAGAGTAGAGAAAACAGATAAAGGAGGAGAAGATGACACCACCGTGTGCTTTTCTTGACACAATGAAGTCATGGTGAATTAGTAACTCACACCTAACACTTGTATGGAATATGTTAATGCAACGCTTACAGTCTTAACTGTGAATGTAGTGAGAATATGAAAGTGCAAGCTACAATGCCCTGCCCAGCCACAGTAAATCATTTCAAGTGTTACACAATTGCAGAAGTTGGCATTATGTCAGCGCCATTGGTGACATAACTGCAGAATCCGATGTGGAGATATTGAGGTAATGTTATTGTATCTAACAAGAATGACTGGTGAGTTTAACTTGATACTCAAGATGTGTCACATTTTCCTCCCATCAGCTTCAACAAGTGTCCTGATAATGTTGTTTCCCGTGTGCTTATCAGTGTGGATCAAGCGTGGATGCCAAGACACCTCCTCGAAGAAGCACCTTAGAGGTGATTAGTTTTAAACGGTAGCTCAGGTGATGTTCTTGGTTGTGCTAAGAGTTTAGACTGCTTAGAAAGTGAGGGTTTTCAAAAGAGTTGCAGAACAGGACACATACTCTGTGGTAATGCTAATATTTAAATCAAGATCAAACAGTTGATAATCCAGTCACACAGTTGTGAACATTGATATTATGTATGTAGAGTGTAACTAAGTCACACACAACTCTTGAGTATTTTCGCTACACCCCCCCCCCCCCCCACCAAGTGCATGTGGCTGATATGGTTTCCACCGGTGTCCCTCACTTAAGTTTCCCCTCCTGGAAAGCACCCAAGTGAATGTGAGTACCAGCGGATCATAACTCCAGATATTGAGGTTTTCAGTGCTCTCTTCCAGATGCTGTTCAGTAATTAAAAAATAGCTTTCATTCTTTCCTTAATTCTGGAAAGCTGAGTCAAGCTTTTTTGATTCTCAGTGCTGCACTTCCCTCCACTCCACCTCACATTAGCTCTAATACAACTATACAAGAAGGAACTTTCTGTTTTTTTCTGTTTTTTCATCCATTGCAAAGTCAAAGAACCTTTGAGCAGCTCAAGCAACAAGGCACCAACAATACTGTGGCACTGCTGTTTTTGTTTTGTTTTTTGTTTCTTTTTATCAGCAGTATTTTAGTCTCAGACAGAATTGGAAGACTTCCTTGTAGAAATGTTTAATATTGCAATAAATCAGATGTCATTTCACCTTTTGTCCACTGTTTAACTTCTCCTTTCACCTTTACACCAACATCTGTTCAAAGTTCATAAACTACTCACAAATTCACAAAGAAAACTCAAAAAAATCAACACCGTGCTGCTGATCAGGTATTTGAATCTGTGAATTATGATACACACATTAATTTTATTATGGATTAATCATTTATGAAGGAAAAATTGTAGAAAAATGTCCACCAGCCTTCAGCAGAGCTAACGGTGACAACTTGAAATTGTTTGTTTTATCTAAACACCCCCCCAAAATAATGCAATTAAAAGTGTGATGTTAAGCAGTGACGTCAACCAGCAAAAATAATGTGATAAAGGATCAAGAAACTGGAAGCAGTGAATGTTGGTCATTTTTGCTTGAAAAGTAACTAAAAGGTGTAAATGATTATCAAAATAGTATAATAATCAATCAGCTAATCAATTAATTGAATAATTGACTAATTGTTCTATTTCATATCATGTTATTTAATGGCTGCATGTTCAAGTGTACAATTTTAACTATATACTTAATCTGAAACAGTGGATGGACAATATTCACAGTATTGCAAAGTATGTGGGTTGATTATAATCACTTTAAGCGCCCAATTATTGTCATTATTGTTAGAACTTTCAAAATCCTCTTAGATCAGGAGTGTTGATCTGGGATGACTGACCAGGGCTGCTTGACTTTTTCATTTACAATAATCTAAAACGCTCTGTGATCTGAAAACACCTGATGGATCCAGGCCTGGTGTTCGGCTCAACACAGTTTGTAGGCCCACACCTGTTACTGTGGTCCAGACATTCACCAGCAAGTAGTGGAGCCTAGTACATAAATCATCACAGTGACAGAAATTAGCTCTGGTCATTTTCATGACAAAATAGGGCTACTATGCTAACAGATGGGGCTACTTGACAGTTCTGCTGTGTGATGGTATGCATATGGATGAGGTCTGAGTCAGCGGGGGCTGTTTGTTTGGACAATCCCAGCCAAGCCTCTATAGCTGGACAGAGCTGCGGTCAAGCTGGGACATAACCAACCAACACAGAGCTTTTATCACGTCACATAATTTAGTGGTGGGCTTCCACAGGGATAGGAAAATGTGGTTGAGGTATGGGGTGGTGGTCGTGGTCATGTTGCAGGGCTTGTGTAAAATGAAATGGGTTTAGAAGAGGAAGCAGGGAGAGGGAAAAGTCAGCAAGAAAGAGACTGAGAGGGAGGAGAGAGCTCCTGCCGGGCGGCAGGCTGTCCAGCCTTTGCCTGCCCTGGGATTCCTCGGCAGCCTTAAATATGCCAGTTATTTTTATCCAGCGACGTAACAGAGCCCAGCGCCGGCCCCCTCTGTTACAATATTTCCTTTCTGTCAGGAGGGGAAATGGAGGGGAGCCACACTTCCTGGTCACATGATGCAGCCCAGGCAGCCGAATAAGAGACATACAACAGGGGAAGCGGTGAAGAGTGAATGAGGGGAGACGAGGGAGCTTTGTTGGCAGCCTCATACCCACACATTCATTCAGCACCTCCTGACTCCAAAGTTTAACCCCCTCAGCTGGCCAGATAAGGCAGTCTGTTGGTTAGACGTTAGAAGCCAAAAAGGACCCAAACAGAGATTGGCGTTCGTGAGTTGCGGAGGAAATGAGAGTGTGGTACAGCACATCAGCAGACGGGGGGGGGGGCTGTGACGTCAGACCAAGGACCCGCCAGGATTAGAAGCCTCTAAAAAGAAAAGGCCTGGGCCTGGGCTGCCAGAGCTGGAGAAAATGTGTTTCTCTGTTTGTCTGACATGGGAGAATCAGGGACTTCCCATGAGCTCACCTTGTTGACATACAGAGAACTTGGACTGGTTCATGTCTCAATCTGCACTAACCTCACTACCAGCAAAATTAGTACCAGCCTCACATCATAGAGTGTGATGTTTGATTTGTATTGTTTCACATCCACAGAGGACAGATGTCATTTAAATGGATGTGCGTACA